TAAATATTTTTTTCTTCTTTTTTTAATAAATCTAATATCAATTAGTTTGAGGTTTGCGGTTCAAGCTTGTTCACTTTACTTGGATTTGGTTCACTGTCGGGGCTTTATAAATTAAGTAAGGGTGTTAGAGTTGAAACAAAAATTTCAGGTTTTAATTTAGGGGGCTTGAGCCCTCTAAGCCCTCCATAATTTCTGCCAGGATGCATTCTATCTAAAGTCTACGCCAGACATTGCACCAGAAGACCTCTGCACCTAGATGTAGGAAGTGCACTCGGGGTGGGGTAAGGTTCGGTTAGGTGCAGGCTGTGGGGTAAGATTAGGGCAAGGGTTAAGCTTGGGTAGTAAGGGTACTGGGTATCTATTCAGATCCAATAATAGTGGATCTAATTGCCTTCCCTCCCAAACTACTTAATTCCCAAACTCTACCCTAATTAGCCAAAAATAAAGAAACTTTCAGTAGTGAAAAATATCCTAATTTCTTATAAAAAAGAGTGTACACTCATAATTTTTTTTTAACTGAAAAGTTCTTTAGAGCTTTGTAAAAAATGAGGACATGGTCCTCTATTTCGCCAGCCCCATGAATTCAATAACAAGTTAACCTCGCACCAAGGACGTGAATGTTCCAACTTTACCCTTTTTTTCCTAATCGTTCTCCGTTGAACTAGTCCTTCATTGTCATCAAGGGTCATTACATCGTAAACGAGTCCTCTGGAACCTGAAGGCCATACTGCTCTCTGATTCTCTTGTGCATAGCACGGTAGCCTAATAACTGATCTGGACCATCTTTTTCTGCATTAAATGCCTCACCCACTTGATTTACAGTTGTATCGTAGTCGACGAATTTTATTCCAAAATGTTTCATGCGCCTACTTGATGTACCAGGGCTCCAAGCGTACTGAGAAAAATCCCTTTGCAGAAAGTCAAGAATTTCAGCTCTTCGCAAGTTTCTGGCAACCATACAGCGAATAAATTTTTGGAGTTCGTTATCCTCTGTCCATTCGTTATTTCTTTTATATTCTGCAGCCATATGGAGCAAAATCTCCCTTTCTTGGCTACATAAGCGAAAGGTAATTTATTTAGAAAATCAAAAAGGGCGCGAAAAGCTGCATGGAAATGAGGCGCTTATTCTTACAAAGCATTGTGGTCTATGAGAACGCTGGGCCGATCGTGACATTTCATTTTGAAAATGAAAACGAAAATGTTTCTTTTGACAACTTTCAATGTGATTTTCAGAAACAAAAAGAAACAATTCTATTTGAAACTTGGAAATGGAAATGTTTCTTTAATTTTTTTATTATGTTTATTCTGCTTTTTGACATGCTATTTTAAACTTCAAGAAAATAATTTGAATTTAATGTCAAATTTACCACAAATATCTGTGATTTTTTTATATTTCATAAAATATGTTTCTGTTTTTTGAATGAGAATGCTGGGCCACCATAGAGGGGCTCTGTTTTGGGTGGGAGTTAATTGAAAAAAAGGGCACAGCATCTTTTTCTTTAACAACGGCTATAGCAAAAAAGAGTAAAACTTCAAGGTAGTTCAGGCAGAGAGTATAACACACAGTGCACATAGCTATATTCAATATAGGGCAGACATGACTCAATTCATGGAGGTTTATGCTAAACTATCTTGACATTAAATTTCGGAGATGGAATGCAATCCAGTTATTTTATAAATATATACGAAAGAATCCAGATATTTAATATATATCACTTCAAACAATCTTTTGGTGGTACAAAGCTTGAAAATGGCTTTGAAAAAGCAAACATTTGAGTTAATTAAAGCTTTCCGTCTGACACACTTCAGAGTTTAAAACGTCAGTACATAGATGGAAAACTCTACGCTAGGAAATATATACACCTAGTTGTGGATTGAAATAGGCCAATCAAGAACATAAGCACATGACTGTTGAGGTTGACCAATCAGTGCCGCTTGCCTATTGATAATGTCACCATTGGAGTCCTAAGGTGAAAACGAACTCCTTTTGTCTACACAGTAGCGGTTTTTTCGTGCTTATACAAGACGCTTACACATAGGGTACTGATGATTTGTTCCAAGCCTAAACTCGACTCGGAATTTGAAATACTAAGATTTTTTTGCTAAATCCACCACAATAGGTGGCTTCATATTGAAAATTATCCTAAGCAATTCCTAGAAAGAAATTTCAAGATGCTAAGACAGCAGTATGAATTACTGTAGTGATTCCATTCATTCTAATTTTTCCTCACCTATCGCCATCCATTTTTACTTTGTTTATTTTACCTACAGTAATTTCTTCACATCACTACCTCATCACTACACTCTACGAGCATATCACTATGTCAACATTTCCTCTCTTTTGTTTAGGCCCTCATTAACCCTACACATCTACCTAAATCTCAATTCATAAACTATTCACACTTAGCCTAGCCCTTCCTATCCTTTGTTTTCCTTACATCATTAGTGTTAATTTTAGATATTCATTTCTGTATATAAGCATGTTAATTTTTATGTAAGTCAGTTCAGTTCAGAGTTCAGTTACAATCACACAACGCACTGTCTCTCTCTCTGGCTCCGTGTCCTCTGCACGTAAAATAAGACACGCTGGGTTGGAAATGACACGTTAGTCGATGGATGGAATTATTAGTGAACGAATCGCACATAACAAGGCTCAATTCTCGTTACACTAAATTACTGGCAGGTTTAGAACCAGACTTGATGACAAATGTAATGCTACTACTTTTTGCCTCATTTTGAAATTTTTCCTTGCATGTGGCAAACATAAACCAAGAACAAACAAAAGAAATGATGGGCCTAATCAAGAAATTTTAGCTTTCAAGATTCCCTAGTCCAACACAGGTTGACAACTAAATTCTATTAACTAGAATTTAGCAAGTTCTTGCCAAACTTGTCTCAGGAGCTAGCTATGCAGATGAAACAACTGCTGATAATTTGCACGCAGATTTGTTTAAAACAGCTGGCTTCCCGTCGTATCTAAAACAGCGGTTTCCATAGACAATGTACCTGTTATTCCGACTGGGTGATTGAAATCGATGAATGATTCAATATTAATGGAAAATTTTGCTATTACCAATACTTGAATAGAAGTGGCTGGTAATATTTTGGCCTAAAGGATTTTAAAGAGCGTTGAAAGATTTGAGATTTGATGTCAAATATTGAGGTTTGCAATTAGTTAGCTTATGTCAAGTAGACGTTCTCTTTCAGGATTGATGTTAGCTTAATAATCTTATATCCAGCATGTTTATTTCTGATCACTCATTTTGATTAAACCGTTAGTGGTGAAGGTCAGCGATTTCAAGCATATTTTTTGTTAAAGCTTTCCATTTTGAATGCCCACTTGTTATTTTGAAAGTTCCGCTGCTTAAAATACTGACAGGGATTTTAAATGAGCAGGAAAATACTCTATAAATATTATGTCATGTAAGACGAAAGAGAAAATCCGTTTTATCCTTATCAATCTTTTCTATTGAATAAAGGCTTGCCTTTTTAAGCATAATTAAACAATGATTTAGCTAGATAGAGTAATTCTTTTTGGAAAATGTAGTGTACTTTGGTATTATACTTAGTAAGATCAAAGCAAGGTATCAAATGCCCTTTTCTGCTTTTTGAGCTAGGATATATTACAATTCTTGGTATCATATTTTATAAATTGTTTTGCTGATCGTTCTATGCATAGAATTATTTAATATTAGAACCCTGAGAGTTCCTTAGTGACGTAATCAGGTCTGATTCTGAGAACGAACATTCTGTTTCGAAAAGATGCTTAAGTTAAAAATGTTGGCATTCCACTTGCAGGTAGCAGAATTGAAAGAGAAATGCAACTGGCTGTCCTTGTAGCTCTGCTTTCTGCAATAGCAAATATTGCTCTTGCCTTTGGTATCAAAGAAGCAAGGTAATTCTAGAAAAACATGTTACCACCGCAGTTTTGAGATGCTATTATAACGTTTTCCTGCTTATTTGCTCTTAACATGCTATGCAATTTTATTAGCTTTTTTGACTTCTTGAACATATTTGAGAGAGTAAAATGAGTTAAAATTGAATTGACCAAATATCACAACAAAATCAAAAGGCTACCACCGTAATCAGTATGTCACTAAACATTGGACTTTGCAATAAATTGGTTGTTTTTATGCTATAGCTTTAACTCCAGTGATTTAGCAAAATATTACTTTTATATAGCTAGAGTAAATGAATTTTTGATATATATATATTTCAAAGGTTAAACTCTATAGGTTTTGTTTACAATACTATTTATCAAAAGGTTATTGGCAATTTCTAGTTACAAAAGAAGCTCTTTTTAAAAGTCATGGCCTTGCTTGTTTTTTGATAGAAAAATAAGTGACAATTTTGGCCGTTCTTCTACAGTGTATGGTTTTTCACTTTTATTCTGAGAAAAAATAGAAACACAAAAGATACTTTGTAGTATGTTATAGCCTGGCCTTTTTAAAATTCGCAAAAGACTTTATCAATGCATATTATTGCTTGTCATCATGAATGAGATTGAATTCAATATTTATTTTCTAAGAATTTTGACGTTTTCAAAACCACTACCTTACTAATTGGTCGAATTTGGATTAAATAATACATATCTTTTTCAAAATCATAGTTTTACAAATTTGAAAACATGAATTTAAAATTGAAAAAAAGTCTTTTTAAAGTGAATATTTTGCACAAAATATATTAATGAAGAAAGGATTGACCTGACAATTGAAAATGACAGCAAACATTTTACAACATATTGGCGAAAAGCTTTTTCGTCTGACACTCCTCAGAGCATAAAACGTCAGAATAACGATGAAAAATATATACCCAGTTGTGGATCGAAATAGGCCAATCAGAAAAACGCAAGCACAAGACTGGTAAAGTAAAATAGACACACAACCCTAACCCTAATAGTTGATAGCAGGATAAGGCTCTTTAACAACAAATTTTTGTCAAGTTGCCTTGCTTATATTATTTAAATAAGTAGTATTTTATGAATATGGATTTACTTTTTCCAAATATGGACTCAATATCTATATAAACATCTCGAAATAACAATAGAGTAAGATGGACTTGCAGTCATTTGGTTACTTTGACTTCTTTCTTCTCTTTCAAGTGAATATCATACCGATGCGAGTGCTGCTACAGTTTTGAGAAGGCTGCTAAAAAATTACGATAGAAGGCTGAGGCCAGATCTGACAGGTATGAATCAAAGAATTGTTGGGTATTATCCAAATACTGATAGAAACGAATTTCATAAAATCTTTGTTTGCAAAATACCCTTGTAGGTAGTATGAGTATTTTTAAAGTTGATCATAAAGACTCATAAAGTATATTGTAACGAAAATTACTTTTTTATATGTTCTCCATATATATATTTTTGCTGAACACGTGAAGGTGTATAGAACAGAACGGTTCTAAGTTGCAACTCTAAGTTCTAAGTTGATTTTCACGCTAAAGGCAACACAAATCGTAAATTTATTATCAATGAAATTGTGCATGCTGTATGTCGAAAATGAACAAAATATGATACAATATAATAACGACTATGTACAAGAAATAAATATTTGGTGCGACGTTTCGAGTATAACTTTTCCATAATCGTAGTTTAGCTATATTGTATATTGACGGTCTAATTAACGTCTGCCCGTCGGCTATCAAAAGCGCCATCAACCAAGGAGGACGCTGGAACTTGCTAAAAAGTCTTGGTTTTCTAATAATCAGTTTTAGCAAAATAATGGCTCTTTCATTACTTGAAAAAACAAACTTTGAACTTTGAAAAGGCTGCCTGTGAATGCCGATAATGTGGCAACGTCAATTTCAATTGTGATAAAGCAAAAGGGACATGATAGTGAAGTACAATTATTGAGTAATAATAATGAGAAAATCAGAATCATTATGAATAATGAAGTGTTCCAAGCAAAGTAAAAGGTAAATTTAGCCAAATAATGCTGATCAAATCATAACGTTTTTTTAATGCGTTTTGTCATTAAATAATGTTACTTCATCAAATCTTTGCAGGTCCTCCAATAACGGTTCGCATTGACCTTTCCATTGTTTCCTTTGGTCACATAGAAGAAGTCAGGATGGTATGATGAAACTGAAAATATACTCGATTTTGATTTCTTTTTTCTAAATATCAAGACCGGCATTCTGAATGTTAAGTAACGAAATTTTATTTTAAGAAGGTTAATAGCTGAAATTCGATCTCTCAGTTTTAAATCAGAGGTTATGATGGGATCTCTGTTTGTCATTTTCTAATTGTTGAGAAAAGAAGTTATGGAACAAACATATTTTAATTTGAAATAAATTTCCAAACAATTTGAAAGAGTGTCTACAAAGGAGCTTTTTCTGAAAAACTGTAACAGACTTCTGCAAGTTGAGTGTTTTTATAGGCCTGTTCAATAAATGTATTAGCGTTTAAAAAATGGCATATCTACTAAATTTATCAAATTTATTTTTGATAAATTAAATTATTAAATTAAATTTGATAAATTTGACTTACAAATCTTAGAACAAACTTTTTCCGGCAAATTTTCTGTACGAGTAAATAGGGTTATATTAAGCATGTGAAAATGAAAAAAGTAGAAAATCTTCTTGAAAGTGTTTATGCAATCTTTTCTAGATCTTCCCATGCGAGCTATTTTTCAGACAAAGATGGAATGATGCACGCTTGAAGCATAACTTAAGCCAGCCTCTTACTCTCATGGCTGGCAGAAAACATGTCTCAGATATCATATGGGTTCCTGATACTGTCTTTGTCAACTCGATCGACTCTAAAATGCATGACGTCACAGTTAGAAACGATAAAATTGACATATACCCAAATGGAGATGTCTTCTGGGGCACTAGGTTTGTGTTTTCCAAGCTTTAATAGAAAGATTTTAATCAAAGTGGCAAGGTTTCTGCCTATCCCTAGACCTAAACTTTTGGTCAATAATAGTATTCGTCAAATATTCTAGCTTGTTCATTACTTCCTTTTCTTTTGTAAAGCAAAACATTTCTAGCTTGCATGGAAAATTTTGTTTTAAATGTCTATATCTTGCGTGAAAACACTAAACAGGTATTTTCCACCAAAATATTTATAGATCATCCCACAATACTTCTTTTTAATAATTCGTAAATATTAATAGATTTGATAATGTGATCTTGATCTTCTAGTTCAAGTTTTAGGGAATTGAATTCTGAAGATAAACAAGATAAAAACGTTAGCTAAGTAGAAATACTAAAACTAATTAAAAACCTATCTGGCTTTTAAATTAATATTCTAGTTGCCCATTTTGCAATTTCTTAGTCAGCTCCTTACATCATTAAAACTAGATGAGGGTTTTAAAGCTCGTTTCATTCTTTTTTTACCATCTTTACAAGACATTATTTTGTTACCGTGTCTTCAAATTGCAGGATTAGTGTAAGAGCATCGTGTCGCCTAGACTTGAAAAGCTACCCAATGGACACTCAAAGATGCAGCATTAGCATGAAAAGTTGTAAGTACCAACAGAGCCTATGGAGGAAGGCAAGGGGAGCAAATAGCCCCGGGACCTCGAGGTCTAGGGGACTTCTTAAAGTAATGAATTATGTTTAAATATGGAACTTATTTAAAATACCAAAATTATGCCAGAAAAAAAGCAAAAAAATATTCAACGGACGAATGAATTCAAGCCACTCCAAAGGGCGTGGTCTAAGAAACTTCCTGCTTATTTTGCTCAGAGGTAGGTTAATTCTCCGGTCTGCCCCCCAGGTCTTCAAAACCTCTCGGCGCCCTTGAGTACCATTTAGATTCTAGAGCCTAGGCTCTAGCAAACTGATTTAGTAATATCATCAACACAGGTACATTGTTTAGCATGCGACCTTTCCAGATGTTATTCTGGTCTTCGGTTGTCGATTGTTATTCTGATCTTCTCAGAAATCTCATAATCATACCAACTGGTCAGAAGTCGCATTGTCGATTGTTTTACAAGACATGTAAAACATAAAAACAAAAAAAGCAGTGTTATATCTAAAAATAATTATTTCGTTTGTTATATTTTGGAATAAAACCTTTAAAGAAGCTGCTGTCAAACAAAAAATGTGATCATAATCTTAAAGAACATGGCTGGTATGATATTTCCGCTCAATAACTATGCAATGTTAAAGAACTGTCTTTATCTGCACAATTTACACTCTTATTCAGCTTACTGATTATTGCTAGTCTTTTCATAAAACGTTTTTTATCCAAAAAGCTTGATAAGAATCTTTAAACGTTAACAAAATAACTTCGTACCAAAACCAGCTTTAAAATTGTATGTGCTGTTGTTATGGCCTAACTTCAAAGCTTATTGGCATATAAGAAAAACAACTACTTGCGGTCAAATATAGCTGGCATAAAAGATGAATAAAGTAGGTTCAATGTAAAAGATGGTGGACAGGCAAAGTTTTGAACTAAAAAGCGCGTTTTTGATAATTAAAGAGCACCTTTTCTTTAATTCTAGTTCATAAACAAAAAACCTCACTAAATTGACTCGATATCTATTGACCAGCTGTTTCATGAATCAGCTGTGAATAATTCCCTGTCTTTAATGTTTCCCTGAAACCTGATTAATTGTTTTAGAAATGCAAAAACAATGGAGGTATCAGGTTTAAAGCTTTGTAATTTCATGTTTTAGATCGATATCTATGGATTAACCAGGTCTCTATATATCGGTTGGCACACGCAATTTCAAGAGGACTTTTGGTTACTGATTGGTCGTCAATTGGATTTAAGACTTATGTCGAAATAGAAGTAAAAGAGGATTTCTCTCTTTTTCGTCGTGCTGATTATCTTTTAGAGCTAACTCATTTTGCACATTTAAAGGTACCTTCTCATGGTAGGGCAAAATTATTGAATTCGAAAATTTTTATGGCATAGTGAATTCTTTTTATAAACGGCAATGTGTTTCTTTCATCCAAATTTTCATTCTAGATGCATATCCTTCGGACGACATCGTTTACCGATGGCACAATAAGCCAGGGATCAAGATTCTCGATCCGGAGACGCCTCAGTATGACCTACTAGATTATAGAACCGAGGCAACCTTCGATTCAACTGATACCGGTAAATGCAAGTTCAACTTCCACAATCCCCAACTGTTTTATGACGCATAGTTAGGCCCAACCTAATCCTTATTAGATTGAGATATTAGAGGCTGAAGATGGTAAACATGGTGGGTCCTGCATAGGAGAATGGTTTAGCAGTGACGACGTTTGGGCTGTAAGACTAAATATGATAGCACAAAAAGCGTTACTCTGGGTGCCAGATTTCGAGAAATGGAAAACCAAGCGGAGAAGCGGAGGAGATAGGTGTTTCTCAGATGAAAGCTCCTTCGCTTCTCCTTTTGCTACCTATATTTCCCGTTCAAGATTTCGTGGCTCTGGTACCCAGGGTAAAAATGCGTATTATTGGGCATATTTAGCCTCATTTACACTCTCGGCTGTTTTCGTTTGGCCTTGTTTCAGGAATGGGCCTAGTGCTACAGCACCCACCTAAATTCGGATTGAGCAGATACATAAAGTGAAAAGCAGAGCAAAGCAGTTTAAAGTGGTTCTCACGACAACTCCATCACGGAGTGACTTTATCTCCAATCAAATTTGATTGATATTCTTTATTTGAATTGAAAAGCAACACAAATGAACCAAATCCGACGCCATGTAACATAAGCCTAACAAGGAAATTTGTGTTGATTCAACATGGCAAACAGTGGCAGCTCGTGGGGTAAATTTTTGGTGCGGCTGTTGACGTAATATTCGAAATCTAAAGCCATAGAAACGGAACGCAAAGAGCCTTTCCATTCTTTACTACCTCTAATCAACAAGGTTGACATCATTTTGAAAGTTTCGATTGAAAAATAAACAAGTGGCACTATTAATTATGTATAGTTTGTAATAAGCAAAGTAATGTTTGTAAGTAAACTTTGTGAAATGTTAGTATGCTCAACTTTTCTCTCTTCACAAATTAGGTGACGTCCATAAAAACATAGACAACTTGAATATGGCCAACCCGTAGACGATATCATATGCATTGCATATCATGGCAATTAAAAAATCTTTAAAGAGGAAAACATTTCTTAGGATCTTAAAGAGCAAAAACTGTTAATTAGTTTAATTTTATATGCCGTGAAGTTAAAATTTTTCCAGTTGAGCGCCTGCATTGAAAATATGCTTTATTTCATTAGAAGGCCTGCGGCCTAGCCTTCCCATTTTGAGCTTATTTCAAGATCGGCAACATTAATTCTGATAAAAACCTAACTTGTATGCTCTATTTCAAAGTTCTATTTTAGTTTATAATCATAGTCGTCGTTTTATTCTACGTTGGCAGCTTACATAGCACATACAACATATTACATTAAGCTAACAAATTAAGAAAATCTTACATAATAACTACAAGTTATACCAAAAGCCAGTATAATTGCAAGTTCGTGAAACCTTTTTCACTACAGTAAGTACCCGCTTATAAGAAACCCCCCTGTATAAGAAACTGGCCTCATTTTCTTCAAAAGGAGCTCCTTTTATAAGAAACAATTTCAGACCTGAAAATAAAATTTTTCTTATTTTCAAGAATAAGCATTCATGTTTTATATTTTCTGTTTATGCTCTAGGATGATTGTAGTGTGTGTATTCTATCGATATAAAAAATTATTCTGTAGATTATGTATTATGTACTACTACCATTACCAGTAGTATTGAATACAAGTCCATGGATGGTCAGGTAGCTTGACGTGATTTCACTTGAAAGTACCTATTGATAGAAAACATAGACGCTGATGATGAAAAATTTGTGTCAATAAGAAATTTTCTGAGACCTCAATTTAAAAAAGCGGTTTCTTATATGCAGGTACTCACTGTTTGTACAAAACTATAACAAGCCAAGTTTGCTGTTCATTGTTTACAAAGTCTGCACTTGTTGTATACATCTTTACCTTTGAACTATTTGCGTAGCCTTAATGACGACGAGAGAGACTTATGCACCTTTTGCCTTCATTTTTTCAAGTACAAATTCAAGTTTGTAATGCCCTGACAAAACGACTAATCATTCCACTAAATATTTCACTCAACTTTTGTTTAACGAAGTTGAGCGAGTTTAGCGAGGGTGGCAAAACGTGACTAAACTTTTCACTAAACTTCACTCAACTTTTTTGAACTGTGAGCTGTCTATGACGCTGTTGTGTTGTAGGGGATTTTGCATGGGAATTCGCTTTTCGTTTATTTTGTTGCATGCACAAGCAATGGATGAAAATAAGAATTGGAGAAGCGACTGGGAAAGAAAAGACTTTTAGCACATTAACAACAAAGTTGACTGTTGAAGAAGATACAGTGGCGCACAACGAGATATGCAGATGTCTCATAAAGGCTTTTCGAGTCACGTAGAGACAGGGAAACTAACGATAACCGACGAAAACCTTTGGATTTCCACAGCTAGAGCGCCTGAGCGATCACAACAAATGTTTAATTAGTGGCAAAACGACTAAACATTTGCTAAACAACACTAAACAACGCTACTAAGCATTTTTGCCCAAGATACAAACTTTGCTCAACAACACTCAACACGATTAAACAACACTAAACAGGGTGGAAAAACGACTAAATTTTTCACTTAACTTTTGGCAAAACAAAAGTTGAGTGAAATGTTTAGTGAAATGTTTCGTCGCTTTGCTAGGGTTTAACACATTGCGTTTTATTGTTCTTTTTTCCTAAAAAATCTATACTCTACTAAGACATCACTAACAACAACCCTATTTCTTTGCGATTAGGCAACTACTCCATCTTAAGTACAATGTTTACTTTCAAACGACGCACTGGATATGCAGTACTTCAAATCTATATTCCTACGATAGCCATCGTTTGTGTGTCTTGGATATCGTTATGGATTGATCAAGACTCGGCCACCCCTAGAATACGCAAGTATCTGTTTCATACTTTTATTGTATTATCTCAAAAGAGAGCTGGTAGCTAGGAGAGACTGGTACAAAGTGCCACTTTTTGAATCTTATATCAAAAAGCTCTCTTTTCGCCTATAATTTCGCTCCCGGACGACCACTTTCTTATTCTCCGTCTCGTCTATGTGTTCTGTTAGCAAATCGTCCAGAGTTAAAGACTCGTTACTAAAGCCTGATTTACACGAGACGAATTTTTCGCGCGAAGCGAATTTTTCGCCACGAATTTTTCTCCTGCGAATTCGCTGCGAATTCGAAGTTTAATTTCCACTGGCAGAATTTCTTTTGCGAATTCGCCGCGAATAATGCCAAAGAAAATGGCGTCTGTTCGAAGATTGTTGTTATTGAAAAAAAGCGAGCAAAATAGCAAATAAATGGGTACTTGGTTCGGAAAATTTATCCAGAACGTCTGCAGAAGGGGGAGTTTCATCTTTTGGTAAGTGACTTACGCTCACATTGTCAGGAATAATTACTTTCGAATGTCGCCAACTACATATGAGGAGCTTTTATCGTTTATTGCACCAAAGACGCCTGTTGCTAGAAACGTCCCATTCCATTGTTTATGTTATAGGTGCGGGATTTTCCCAGCATTGTTTAGGCCTAGTCATAGGTTACTCATTCTTCACCCATGTTGTTGTTTGAACCATTGCGTAGTTTTCTGTCGTTTTGCATACTTTTGAATTAGATATGTTTACATTGCGTAGCACCATTCGGCCTAGCCCTTCCTTTGGGTTCGTGTCAGATGTCTTCAATTGCTGTTCTGATTGGTTTATTTTACATGGCGAAAAAATTCGCAGCGAAAAAGTAGGAATGGTTTCTACTTTTTCGCAGCGAATTATTCGCTGCGAATTCGCTGCGAATTCGCTGCGAATTTTCTAATCTCCACTTCTGCGCATATTTTTCGCGCATTCGCGGCGAAAAATTCGCTTCGCACGAAAAAATTCGTCTCGTGTAAATCAGGCTTAACAATGGGCCTTTGCGAACGTCGCGACGGTCCAAACAATGGTAGTAATTTTCTACGGATTAACCAAAATTGATTTTAGACAGTCTAAAAATGCATTATGGGATGCTTACGTAGCGCAAAGGCTCATTGTTAGCAATGAGTCTTTAAATATAGGGTTAATATGATTAAGCAAACATCAAGAATTAGCCTTACGTCACCGATTGGATAAGAAACAATAGGTCTATTGTATAGTCTAACCAATAGGAATTTTGAATAGCCATTGAAATGCGTCGGGACATATGCCTTAATGTTGTTCACAGCTCATCTATATTCACATTCTACCACGCAAGGGAACACTGTTTTGGAATCCTGTACCACAAAAGTCGTGATATATATTAAGAGCCAAACTCTCAAAGGAATCAGAAATACCTAGAGAACAAACTAGATAAAATGGAAAATATGTCTTGCGTAGTGAAATAGAATGAGAATACATTTTTTAGTTTCAAAATAAGAATTCATGATAATTGTGGTTCGCATGAACTTTAGTCCTTGGTTGTTACGTCATAGGACATATTTTCATGCTTTGAATTTGGACGAAGAGAGAACAACAAGATGAAGTAGTACCTTGATATCTGCAAAATTAGTAAAAGAAATTCCAATCTATCAATGAGATGACATAATAAAATAAGTCGGGCAATGTTAGACCAGCTCATAGCACGAAGCAAAACTACAGTTATTTGATGAAAAGAAAGTGGGAAAGAGGATATCTCCAAATGATCAGATCTCAGTTAATTTTTTGTGGGCGAATGATTGATTGGAAGAATGACTTACATATCCATAATACTCATAGGCTTGAAAACAGAGTCATAATTATGATTGTGTACCCAGCTGTTCCAACAGCTTAACCCAACTCTTCCAATTGCATAATTATTAAAAATTGTCCTGTGCTAATTTGAAGTTCATTTCTTACAGTTTTATGCATTACAACATTGCTGACGCTGTCTACGATTTGTGCTTCCGTGAATTCAACGTTGCCAAGGGTTTCCTACATAAAGGCAGTTGATCTGTTCCTTTTGGTATCCTTTTGCTTCGTATTCTTCACACTGGTGCAGTACATACTTGTGTTAAATTTGTCAGCAAGGGCAAAAGCAAAACGTAAAGCCGAGGCATGTAGAGAAAGAGAAAAAAATTCAAATGAGAAGGTACTACAATTATGCATTCTCCAAAATATTCTCTCTTAAAGCTCTCCGGCTGTGTAACTTTCCTGTATACGCTGATAGGGCAATGATAAGATTTTTTAGCTATCGAAACGGTTTGCAAATTTTTATCATTCTGAAATGTCTTTGTTTTTATTTCCTCTTCTGCAATGAAGGCCTAAACATGCTTGCATTTTCGTAACAATGCACTGCTGGAAATATTGTTTAGAAAATAGAAATGATTTGATACTTATTCGAATAAAATACCATAAAAGACAGTTGGCTTTCCCTTGACCATTCGGGAGGCTACACAATCTGAAATGTGTTTTTTGCAATTTATATCCTTCAAATTGGTGAAATCTCGATCATTTTTCATGTTGCAGGTTGCATTAAATGATGAAACAATAAACAAAAATAATGAAATAAAAGAAGAATCCGAGAAAAATGTCCACTGCCCAGGCTCCAAGGCTTACGACAACCTTAGGCAGAGAGTCAAATTTTCAAAGGAAGCAAAAAGACAAAATTGTTTCATATTTAAGAAAGTCAAAGGTCCCGAGACATCAAATCTGGATAAAATAGGGCGAGTCGTGTTTCCATTTGGCTATATCATGTTCAATATGTATTACTGGATAGAATATCTCGGAAGCAACGAGCTGAAGAAATTTCCCCATTGATTGATCTGGTGCTGGTATCTGATTACAGGCAATTGGCTTGCGATACATGGTCTATAAGAGATTCGAGACATGAATAGAAATGACCCTGAAACATAATAAGAAAGAGAAAGGACATGAAACAGAAGGGACGATGCTTTATCAGAAAGGAACCTAATCTCATGAGTTTTAGGTTTGCCAAAACGTATTTCAATTCTTTAGAAAAAGCTGTTAGAGAATCCCACTGGACCAAGGAACTGGAAAAATTTATCTCTTCCAAAAGAGTGCTCGTTCCCAAGGGGTACATCGCACACTGACGATTTACAATTATTCATAAACTCAGTTCAACTGTTAATGATGATGACTAAATTAAATTAGTCAGAGATAATTTCAAGAGGGGCTTCTGAGCTTTAACTAATTCGCTTGAGATTGTTATTATTTGTAATTGTCACTTGTGCCACGCTTCCTTGCGTTTTCGGCAATGTGGGGCGGGGAGTCTTTCGGCCTCCTGAGGATTTGGTTTGTAAAACTAGGGTAAGATGTGTGTTTCGTGCCGCTTTCATTCCCTTGGTTAATCTAGGGGTATTTAAGGTTTTGGCATAGCGTGGGTCTCCTCTTGCTTAGTGAAGCCTCAATACAAGTATGCTGTTCTTTTTACCGGCCCTCTCTCCCTCATTTTGTTACTTTATGCAAAATGCCTTTTCGGTATAGCTTGTATCTTTAGGCATCTTTTATGCTTTTAGTGTTTATTGATGCTATTAGGTAGGACTGGTGCATCTGCTATAAGTTGGGAAAAGAGGTTTTTCCTGTCCATTCCCTCCCAACTATCAACTAGATTTGGGGCTTGTTGTTGACCTTCCCTAAGTAACCCCTTCCTTCTAGCGATATATGGTAGGTTGCACGATTTGCACCAACAGCCCAACTCGCTCTCCATGCTGTGGGAATGTAGCCTCACGACTGACTTTCTGATTTTTATGGCATGTTTTTCTGAGGGTAATTTATGCCCTTCATTTTGTATTGATATTTCATTCTCGAGTTAGAAAGTTAAATGAGAATTTGCGCACAATAGCACAAAGTGATATAATGCTTCAGTTTGATGTTTTGAATTAGCGTAAAAAAGTAAGAATACGAAGCTAGCAAAACAGAGTTCTGTTCTTCGATAGTAAAGCTACTCTGGTCAGCACCGGTCGGCCTAACACCTATCGAAAAGAGACATCATCAAATTAGAAGATAGAAAAACGATTATCGATATTTTTTTTCAGTGACGTTATTAAGATCATGTTTTAATTGTCAATAATTATCGAATAAGCCTTCTAACGAGTGTAAAAATATTTTTTCTTAAAATTTTCGAGCAAGTATTCAGCCAGAATATTAGCAACAAATAGAGAAATTTGTAAAGATCTTGAACACTCTCATAGATACTGATATTTCCATAGATACTTGATTAAAATATGCTTGATTACAGAGATATTCAAGAATGAAATGTAACACAACATGAGAGGCGTAAGAGCAGATCTTTGTGGAACTCCTACATTTATTATGAATTAACAAATTGCAACATCAAGTTTTAACTTGCTTGAATCATAGATTTTGGTGCGTTTTATCTGAGTACTTGTATGTTCCAAAACATGGTTCGCCAAACACTCCATTGGTTGCAGGCAGCTGACGAAATCTTCTTGCATTGCAACTGATTCCAGTTAGTTATAAGGACCTAAAAATCATTGAAATATATCATTAAAAGTCTTTACAGGAGACAATTCATTCTATTATATGATAATAATAATAGCATTTTCATTCATTTGTGGGACATCAATTTTGCATTGGCAATTACATCTTACAAGCAAAGAACTCGATCAATTATAGTGCAAAGTACCTTTGTTAACGACATGTAGCCTCTCCAGAAATTGAGCTGTAGCGAAAGAAAAGGTGGCTTTAGCAAAAAAGTTGGCGGAACAAAGATTTGTTGGGGGGGGGGGGGGGGGTGGTGGGGGGTTGGAGAGTGGGAGGGCGATGAGGGTAAAATGGATCCACAGATTTGCAAAAGGAAGAATAAAAATACATTTCTCGATCAAAGTTTGTGAAAAGTGGCAGAGGAATGGAATGGTCTTGACGGAACCTGGATAGTTTGCAAATAGATGGAAGGAGCATTATAAGAAGGTGCTTGCGTGCAGATCGGTGCCTGGCCCTAAGAAATGGAAAGGCGCCTGGCGCTGCCCGTTTACCAGGTGAAGGATTGGAAATCCCAGGGGTAGATCAGTAGCTATCTAGCTTGTTGAATCTAGTGTTGAGGGAAGGCACCCGACCATCGAAGCGGAAGACAGCTGTAATGGTGAATAGGGGTAAAGGTGACGCGTGGGTTACAGAAAATAACAGGCGAATAAAGCGCGGATCCAGCCAAAATTTTGACCGGTTTCGGGGTGTTCTTCCCGGTTACGGTTCTGTGTTGTTGGTCCATAAATATTGCCAAAAGTTGCTATTGAAGTTAGTAAAATATGATTAATTTGCCCACACTTTTTCTAAATTGCCGCATATTACTCGGTCCATTTGATCCTCTTCTCCGAGACGGGGGGCAGGGGGGAACTGAAAATGAACCTCTGAGGGGAGCTGAGAATCACGTTTAGTGAAAGAAAGAAAAGGAAATTTTAGCGAAAGAAAATTTTTGAAATTCAGCCTTCTAGAATGGCTAAAGATTCATCTCCCATACTAAAATTAAACAAATTACTATAACCCGCAGACCAAAGAATTCGACGATCTTAAAAAAAACAGTTTCTTGATTTTTAGGACAAAATTGGGAGGGGCGGAGTCATGCTATAAACGTTAGTGACAGACGTTGAGGTAAGAAAGGAAGAGTTACCTTTGTAAATAACAAGAAGCTGTTGTATTTATTGAGAAAACTTCAATTCCTGAACAGAAATGTGCATCTACTTTGTCTCGATTAATTTCAGTAGGCCATGTAAACACATCTACAATGCAGACATTGCAATGATGCAAAAGTTATCTACTGAAATGGTGCAAATGATAGACAATAAGATAAATTATACCCCAATAAGTTAGTAAATAGATCAAATAAAATCAAGCAGTATATAAACAGTTTGTTCTCCTTTTATTTCATATCTATTTTTAAAAAATGATATAGAAAAGACGTTCAAAAACTTTCTATCTTTGATCAAAATTAGGGAAAAAAGGCCAAGATATGATACACATGAAATGTAGAATTGCATACAATGATAAATTGCATACACATGTAATTTCTCCGCTTAATCCTCTCAAAATCCAACTCTATGTTGGGACAGATCAAATTTGCGACAGCCAGACGGAAAATTGAGACATAAAGCAGTTGACAAGATGTAAACACCACTAGGATTAAACGGAGAGGTTCGGTTCATTTGAAGCAAATACAGAACACTCTGCTCTGCACTCACTTGGAAAGACAGATTGGACTGGAAAAAAGCTTGTAAGTTTATGTTCATTTGAAGGAAATACAGAACACTCTTTTCTGCACTCTTTTCGAAACACAGATTGGTCTGGAAAAGAACCTTAAAGCTTGTGAGTTTATTCTCTAATGTTTTTTAAGATAAATGATTCTCCACTTATAGAAAAATAGTTTTGAAATATTCAGGTGTAAAAGTTTCTAAAGGTACTGGCATTCTGGCAAAAATGAGACATTTTATTTCATTACATATTTTAAAAAACCTTTACTATGCTTTGGTTACTCCTAACTTTTTTCTTGGTTTGAGTTAACGTGACAAGAAAGTTTCAAAATGGAATGACAGAATTCGGGAACAAACTCAATGCTGCATCAACGTTACTTCACAACATTATGATGAAAATTATATTTCTTTTGACTGTTTTCAGCAAATTTCTTTGATGCATTCTACATACTTTCATTGCAACCTTTTAAAAATCTCCTATTTGAAATTCACAAACTTGAATCGCCTTTTGAAAATTGAAAATTTTGAATTTTATTACCGTTAGTACATTAGTTTTAGCTTTAATAATTTTGAAAGTTATTTGCTTTTAAGTCCAATTTTCTTTTTTTTCAGATTGGGTATTACCACAGAAGCAAGATGCTTTCCATTGCCATACTTTTTTGCGTTGGCTTTTTTGCATCAACTCAAGGTACAAGAGATGCGTTATCAAAATTGAGTAAAATAGAGGCAGAAAAACGTGAGAATCTTTTATTTCTCGAAGAAAAACAATAAGAAATCATTTTTCAACTGAGGAATGTCAGACGTTTTAGTAGTATGTTTTAAAAGTTTTTTGCTTTTGGCACAAAGAGAGCATTAAACAAAGAGAATCAGAAACTATACTCCACTTGTCAAAGAACGGAATCGAAAATACTGACTTGTTGGGGAGACGAACCAGCATTTGTCTGAAGGACCAATAGGTTTTCGAGACATATGCACATGCGCAGTTAAGGTCACTGACGTTATTTTCACAACGCATTATAAACTAGAGTATCAAAAGTATTGCACAACCTTCTTCAAAATGGTGGCAGTTTTTGTCAACTTTTTGACAATACATTTTATAGCAAATTTCGGCTGGAAAAGTTTGCAAATTTTGCTGTCACTATGGGAAACTTAGTTAGAAATGTATAAATTACGCAAAAACATGTCTGTTTGTAAAAATGTAGACTATCGTAAATTCTCTTTCAAGCCCCCCTCTCAATTAAGCCTTTTTTTAGTCTCCCTTTTCAAAAGGAAAAAATTAATTAGCCCCCCTCTCAATTTAGCCCCCCAAAAATGCCAAAATAAGTAAACTTTACAAAAAACAGAGATATTCGTTCATTATTTAGCATCAAATTACAGGCCGTTGGTTCCAAGGGATGAAGTCGACCTTTTCGAATTCTTGATTTCAGAAGACGACATGGTCCAAGAAGATATTTTAGAATTAATAATTGATGACGATGACGATGCAAATATCATTGAGATAGGATTTTAGATATATATTGGTTTGCAGAGCAAAATTTCAAATTAAGATTTGTTCATTTTATAGCTTCCCAAACTGTGAACATCTGTGAAGGGAATTGGCAATACATCAAATGCCCAAGGGGTCAAGCTATTTTCATTACCCGGGCGAACTATGGCCGAACCAGCAGGGACACATGCCCCCATTCAGCAATCAGGACTACCAATTGCAGATCTAGTCGGTAGGTTCGTATTATTATCAACTGGATTTTTACGCAGTTTTAGTCATCGTACTATTTTCATCTCTCTGGTGTGCTTGGTTGACAATGCCGTTGTTCCATTCTTTGCATTGCTACCCTAGGTTCCGTTCTCAATACTAACGTTGCATAAAGATTGCCAACGTTTTTCGAAATGGCCTTTCCATATTCATTATTTCTCTTGGGCTTCATATAACCTTTAATTATTAATCAATGTGCTTGATGTATCAATATAATTTATCTTGTTAAATGTTAACATATTTTTAGTCTTTAGAAATACGCTCTGGTTTTCCTGCCTAGGTTGTATTTTTGCTTGATTAAATAAAAGAGAGAATTCATTCTAAACAGAATTGAGACTGTTTAAATTATTCCATTTTTGGAAAAGGATAAAACAGTAGTTTTTGTAATGGAACCCTTTGGAATAACCCTTTAGTTGCTCAAACTCCAATTTTTTGAAGAGCTTTAAATTTGTCACACAAACTTATCGTTTGAAGTCAGCCCATAAGGGGTCCCTAAGATGTACAAAAAAATTCTCTGAATTGTCTCATATGTCACCGAAATGAAACGCGCAAAAGTCCCTTGCTAATATAAGGTAAAGTGTACGTAAAAGGTTGGAAAGGTCAAATGTAATTTTAAGTCCCAAGGGTCCATTGTTAATGAAAGGTACTCATAAAAAGTATCTTGGTACATAAAAGGTATCGTGTACACATAAATGCCACAGGTGCATAAAAGTTTCCAAGGTCTCATCTACACTCACTTACTTGAAATTCTTATACTTGCCACATTTGGAATTTTTCAGGACACTTCAAGCCGTCAAACGACTTTGTCATGGACAGCCAATGTGCAAATTGTATGCGATCAATCGTGTGTACGGAGATCCTTGTGTAGGGACATACAAGTACTTGCAAGTTACCTACCACTGCAGACGTCGTTATACATGTAAGATACATATTTATCCTGTCGGTCTCTTTGCAACTTAATGATTCCTTAAAGTCTGGTTTCTATTAAATCACATACCGATCGTGAGGAATGCAGGACAGAATGCTACGGTCTTCAATCTGCAATTCTAGGTTGCCATTTCCATTCCACAGCAACAGTTGCCGATGGGCGATACCTTAATCTTTTTTAGCTGCGAAAAGTTGACCATGCGCAAAAGGCTGGTAATCCAATTTGCTTATTACAGCTAACAAAAGAATTTCTGTTATGGTCACCGAACGGTTGTGTTTGGTGTGTTTCTACGAAATAAGGGACATCCGTGACAGAAGTGTTTCCATTAAATCGGGAAGAGGACGCTGATGGTCGCCACTGTTGTCAATTTGTACTTCGTGTTCTTGAGAAAGTTCTATCCATCAGTTTGCTCTTTAGCCTCAAAACTGTTAGTTTTCACAAAAGTAAAATATAATTAAAAAACAAGTACATTTATTTTTGATTGATTAATGTCATAAAGCTATCTTTCTTTAAATTATCTATTTTGTGAAAACTCACGTGCGCTGCAAGATACATAGATTTCAAATAATCGCAAAAGTTTTAGGGCACTTCTTATCACAATCAAACAACCTTCCTATCCTTTGCTCATTCACCTTTATTTTGTCATAAAAAATTATTTTATCGAAGTCCAGCTTTAATTTTCATTAAATTCTAGCAAAACGGTCGATTGTGTGTGAGGGTCGGACAGCGAGAATGGGCTGCCCCCTTGGACTCACATTAAGGATACAAGCTGCCCGTTACGGAAGGACTAACAGAATCCACTGCCGTCATTCCGCTATGGGAAATACCCGCTGCATTGCTCACAGGTACTTCACGGCATAGTTTACAAACAGACGAGAAACTAAACAAGAATTTCAATGATGTACACATTTTCGACATTTTCATACCCATGACAGATCCAGCGCCCGTCCTTAATGAATAGTGATCATTGAGCAGTTCTTAACGTTCGGGTATATCAGTTTCATCGACGGGGGTTCACCTAACTGAAGGTTTTCCCTTCCTCTTCACTGCCACTAGAATGGTATTCAGAGCAGTAGTGATATATCAATCAATCTTATAGTTATATTATGTTATATTATGCAAATTCCATTAATCTTGATATCTGGCCCTGCATTTTTGTGCAATTTTTTAAAAAGTAACAGCAAAATGCATGATAAGTTCTCCTGCAAAGGTACAAAACTTTCAATTCGTGATGAAAATCAAGAAAATATTTTTCTTGACCTAAATATTCAAAACACACTTTTTCCTCTTAAAAACATATATCAAAATGGCGATATGGAGGAAATGTTTCCTGCTCATCTTTAAAAGACTTCTACTGATATGGATCAATGATTTCTAGGTCTCGACAAATCGCTCAAAGCAGATGCAATGGAAGAAGATTTTGTCGACTGCCTGTAACCAATAGAGTGTTTGGCGATCCGTGTTTTGGAACATACAAGTACTTAGATATAATGCATCAATGTGTATGATACAGGCGAGTTAGATTTGATACTGCAATTTGTTAATTCATGATGTGTGTAAGAGTGTAGGAGTCCCGCAAAGGTCTGCTCTTACGCCTCACATGTTGTGTTACATTTTATTATTGAACTTTCGGTAATCAAGTATATTTTTATCAAGTTCTTATGATCAAGTACTTATGTAAAGACCGGTTATTCAGAATCTTTGTGAATTTTCCATTTGTTGATACTTTTCTAGTTATATCATTAATATATTATCTCGGAAATTTAAAAAAAATTACTTTTACATTTCTAGAAGTCATACTCGATTAAAATTGACAATTGTTTTTAATCAAGTCACTAAAAAAAATATTAAAAATCATTTTTCCATCTTCTAATTTGATGATTTTTCTCTTCCATAGGTGGTAGGCCAACCTGTGCTGAGCAGAGAAGTTTTATCATCGAAGAACAGAAATCTGTCTTACTAGTTTCCTATTTTTACTCTTAAACGTTGATTCAAATACATTGAGTTTGAAAGCATTATTTCACTTTGTGTTCATTGTGTGCAAATTCTCATCATTTACAAATGAACTGAGTTTATAATTATTTATAAATCAACCGAGTGCGATGCATCCATTGGGAATAAGGAATCTTTTGGGAGCAAGCAACCTTGCCAGTTCCTTGGCCCAGTGGGATTCCTTAACAGCTTTTCTTAGAAATCGATTTAAGCTTTTGCAAACCTAATACTCACGAGATCAGGTTCCTTCCTTCTGGGACATCAGACGATAAATTACTTCTATGTTTCCTGTCCTTTCTTTCTGCTATTATGTTTCGGGGTCATGTTTAATTCATGTCTCGAATCTGTTATGGACCATGTATAACAGACCAATTACTTTTATACTTTTAATCAGATACCTGCACCATATCAATCAATGTGGCAATTTCTTTGACTCGTTGCTTCAGAGATATTCAACCTAGTAATCAAATTGAACATGAAATAGCAAAACTTGCAATTTAAAAGAAGCTCTTTCGTTAGCTCAGACTTTATTTGACTGTGAACCACGGAAGAAACTTTTATCTATTCCAGTTTACTTCAAGTGAAAGGTGGCAAGTTGTGTTTTCGTGTTCGAAGCTGGAAGCAAATTTTTTTCAACGTCCTTACCCTAATGTGCGGTGATATGCAGCCATGCCCTGGCCCTGAGAACTGCACAAGGAATAGGAGTTGCATTCCCCAATCAAAACCAGAGGCATAGAAATTTTCCATCAAAATGCGAAGGGTCTCAGTGGAAAATATGGTCATATTGTTGAATTACTTCAAAGCTTTCCTGGTATCCATTTTCTGTCACTTAGCGTAACGCATATTGAGGCGAGAAGTAGCCAAGGGATGGGGTCTGTGAAATTCCTGGTTACCCCTTCATTAGCCACCCCCAGGAAATCTAGAAAAGGCGGTGGGGTTGGAGCATAAATTTTTGATTGAATCAGTTCGGATCGACAAGATGACCTGGAAAATGAAAATGTTTAAAAAATCGGCTTGAATTTGTTTAGGCCCAGTCACTCGAATAACTTTCTGTTGTGTATAAAGCCCTGGTCATACGATCCAACATTTCACCCAACATTTCACCCAATATTTTGCCCAACATGATGTTACTGTCTACGGAGTTAGCAGCAACCCTGTTGTTAGATGAAATTCGGAACAGTGTCGATCAAGGCAAACTGGTAGGCGCAACATTTATAGATCTCACCAAAGCCTTCGATACCATTGGCCACTCAAACCTACTTCAAGAACTCTCTCAGTATGGCATCAATGAGGGTGATGTTTCTTGGTTCACAGATTATGTATTCCACCGTTCAAGAGCTGTAAGTTATGATAAACCCTCATCAATGACAGCGAACATCCAAACAGGAGTACCTCAAGGCTCTATCTAGGGTCCGTTGCTATTTATTCTATTCTTCAGTGATATTACTGATGTAATTGAGGGTGCCAGGATAGTTAAACATGCTGATGATACAGTGATTTCTTCGTTGCTGATAAAGATTTAAATGTCATCAAAGCCAAGCTCTCAAAAGATATAGAGTCAATCGCTGATTGGTGTGATGAGAATGGTTCTATAATTAATTTGAAAAAAGGCAAGACGGAATCTCTTCTTCTTGGAACTTCGCAAAGAATTTCAAAGCAAAGTGAGACACTTGATGTAATGTACTGGGGCTCTAAAATACTAAACACCAAACAATACAAATATTTTGGTATCTAAATAGTTAGTACACTAAATATGAATACCCATTTAGAGAAATGTTTCAAAGGATAATAGAAATTTCACAGGGACTAATTTGCAGTGCTCAAGATTTTGAGATTCCGATTTTTTCACATCTTCTATTCATTTTCGTTCCTAACTCAATTTTGTTTAGGAAAAAGAAAGAATTGGCATGTTATGAGTGTTATAAATCATGTGCTATGATACAAAAATAAGGATTTTTGAGTCAGTTTCTTTTTTTGAAATTTTAAGTTTTCTTTTCATTAGATGAAAAGAGTTTTGATTCTGCAGCTGACCAAAATAACGAAATTTTTAAAATTTCGAAACATGTTTTGGGGTAGCTTCTAATTTCTAAAGAGAATATTAAACCAATTAGGTGTTGTTTATCGTATTTAATTTGAATAAATAACAACATTTTCTATTTTCAAAACATTATTTCAAATAGTGCGTTGTTACGAAAAATGCAAACATGTTTCGGCCTTCATTGCGCAAGAGCGAATAAAAACGAAAACATTTCAAAATGATAAAAATTTGTGAACAGTTTCGATAGCTAAAATATCTTAAACCATTATTATTCCTTTAAAGCTGGAGAGCTTTGAAAACGCAAATTTTGGAGAACGCATCTGATGCTACCTTTTCAATTGATTTGCCTTCTCTTTTTCTGCATGTTTCGGCTTTCCGTTTTGATTTTTCTCTTGCTGACAAATTCATCACAAGTATGTACTGCACCAGTGTGAAGAATACGAAGTAAAAGAACTATTCTAAATATATATGTAATTAAAATAAATTGGTTAAGCTGTAAAGGGAACAGAGTCATAATAAGAACCCTGTTTTAAAGTCTATGAATATCTTATGATAAGCAAGTTATTCTTTATTTATGGATTTAGAAATTTTCATGTCCATATGTTTTATGCTAAATGTATCCGTCTGCACAAATGCAGATTCGCCCTATTTCCCAAGACATGTCTTGTAAATATTGCAAGGTAAACCTCAACTTCTAGAAAACACCCCCTTCTTAGATATTCCTTATTCAAAATCCTTTTGAAAAGTGCCCATTTTTGTCAGACATAGCGCCTGTACTTAAAGGTGCCCCCTCCAATTTAGAAATGCTTCTGCCCTCCCCGGAGTCGATATTAGAAAACTGCCCAGTTGAATCTCGTTGGAAAGAATTATCAATGAAGCAGATGATAAGTAATGCATAAAGTCAGAATACTTTTGATAAGCAAGGAGTGCTTGCTTTCTATTTGCCGGCTCCATAATCTAGCAGGTCATACTGAGGCGTCTCCGGATCGCGAATCTTGACCTCTAGCTTCTTGTGCCATTGGTTGACAATGTCTAGGACTAAAAATTGGTTGGATGGAACAGAATGGACTATAGTGTAAAAAATTGATGATTCAACTTTTCAGAATTCAATAATTTTTCAACTTTTATCACATACTCTGAAAGACACCATGAGATAGCTATCTTTAAATGTGCAAAATTAATCAAACCTGTTGCAGATTACTGGAGATGAAACACTTGAGTTTTCCTAATGAAATATTTAAGTTCGCCCAATATTTTGGCCTGGTTCCAATATCTGTAGAACCAAGACCAAGTTACAAATACTTTCTAGGGAAAGTGCGATAGTTGGTTTGAATAATATTCACCGTATATGTGGCCAAAATCTGAAAAGTGACGCAATTACTTTGGCATCCTTCTAAAAAATATGGAAGGAATTTTGCATTCTGGTCTGATATTTTCATAAATAAAGTCAATTTGTCAATAAAATGAACAAGGAAAGCCACATTTCGTGGAACACTCGAATGTTTGAGCTTAGGTTTGATATTTCGACTGTTAGTCCTCTTATTGGCTTCCGTTTGTCCCCAAATTAGATAAAATTTGATCACAGTCAATGCTCATTAGAAGAGCAAAAGAAACTTAGCTTGAATTTTCAAAGCAATAGACGTTTGCTTTAACCAGGAGAGATATAAAGTGAATTTTTATTTGAAACTGGGAAAAGTTGAATTATCAAGTAGTTAGCAAATTTTGATCTTTCTTTTAGAATGCTTTGATATGAGACACTTTGGAACATTTTTCTAGATGTTCCCATTCACAAATATTTCTAAAAGAAAAAGAACTCAAATCTATAGCTGTTGTTCAATTTAACGGTTAGTGAGTCTAATTTGTTCGTGTTTGACCGGATCGGATCCGAAAGAGTACGAGTAGCCCTTGCGTTTACAAGGGATCTGGTTGATCCTCATACTTTTGGATCCGCTATCCGAACACTTTTGGGATCTCCTTCAGAGATGGCCCGGTTCCCGTGTAAATGGTTGGCAATAATTGTCAATTCTCCGGTCCTTTGAACATCTGTTCTGTAGTTTTGACGTCAGAAAAACCAAACACGATGTTAACTTATGATACACACCAGTTTTATTGAAAAACTTTTGATACACACCAGTTTTTGAAAAATGCATTCGCGTAGCCTGCAGATCCCCCCTAATCCGATCCCGTTTAAGCGCACATTGTTTTGCATCGGATCCCGTTTAATCGCCGGCAATTATAAAAATTGGCCTACAGAGAACCTCGACATGGAACGAAAATTTCTTATGAAATAGGTTTCAGCACGATTCTATTGGACATAATATCAACAAAGCTCTCCTTTGCCGTTGTTTGTGCCAACCGTACTTGTTGCATTGGTGTTAGTCTTAATCTTGAGATTACAAAGCTTTGAACCTGTTGCTGCAATTACTGCTTATGCAATTCAAAAACAGTTAGTAAGGTTGCAAAAAAACACCATGAAAACAGGGAATTAAAAAGAGCTGTTTTCTAAAACAGCTGGTCCATAAATATACAGTCAGTTTAGTGAGGTTTTTCATTTATCAACCACAATTCAAGAAAAGATGCTCTTTACCATGCTGCTGGTGGTAAACGAGCAAAAACGCGCTGTTTTTTTCGTAAAACTTTGTCTGTTTTGTAAACATATGCATTTAATACATAGTTCTTGCAACAAAGCGCTGTTTACTTTAATAAAAAGCAATGGGCTACAAACCGAACATTGAGGAACTCTATGCATGTCAATCGGAAAATGGAAGAAGTTAAAACAAAGATTGACCACAGCTTATTTAGACACCTTTGCTATTCATCATTTTACCTAGACTTAGCAAATAAGCGAAACTGTTTAAAAAATCTATTGAACTTTAGAAGTCAGTCTGTTATTAGCTTTTTGTAATCATTATCTGTCGTATCATTATAAAGAGAATCTAGAACTGCCATGCAAATAAAAGCCACCTGAAGCATTGTAATTAACTTATTGTGAGAAAGGTCGATTAAACTCCAATCATCAGCATACTTAACAAACCTAATTCAATTTTGATTGAAGTAAGACGCTGCTGAAATGAAGAAGCATAGTTCAGTAGCAAAGGCATATATCATGTCAATCAAGGCGGTAATTTTGTCAATTTCCGTTGGTTGTAATCTTGCGACAATATTGCGAGAGAGCTGCCAGTATTATGGAGACTTTAACATCGTTTTAAAAGACATGGCAGTGACAGGCAATGTGTTAAAATCCTTTGTAGGTAAAACAAAGCGGCAATGCACACTTGAGTGTATGTCAAGCTTTGAGTGTAAATCACTGAACTTTAAAGAGGACGATGGACAATGTGAGTTGCTTGATCGGAATTTGACATCAAGTATGACAGCTATCAGCAAAAGACTTGGCTGGGTGTACATGACAACAGACGAAGAAGCTTCTAATGCAAGTATTCTTGAAAATAATCTGGGTACCAAAGCCTATAAAATTGGGCGGAGAGATGAATTTCTTAGGCCTAGGGTATGTTAGAAATAACTTTGAGTAAGTCCGCAATCATATGTGAATTCATTAAAGTTGGCTTTAAAACAATAGGAAGTAAGGAAAGAGAAAGTGTAAGACAACTTTGGTCTTGGCAATACATTAGTAATGTTTGATAATAAATGGTAAGATCTTTCTAAAAACGTCCTTTCATTCTTTCTTTGGTTTCTTTCGACATTATATTGATTAGAATGTACAGCAAACGTGGTCTATACTCTTAGGAAAGACCATCTACCAATCAAAATTCTCTCTTTCTAACGCCCCTATAAAACTGTGTCCATGACGATAAAGATTGTTCTCATATAAAATGTTTCACTAGCAATGTCTTGTCACTAGGTTGGTCCACGGTGTGCATTATTGTCTCCTTGCCAAAATGGTGGCAAATGTGTGGATACATGCACGGAAGATGGGTTCAAGTGCCAATGTAAAGAAATGTTTAAAGGCAAATATTGCGAAAACGAAAGAAGTAAGGGACACTTTCGTACCTGCAATACGTGGCAATATAGATCGCATGATGAACCTGTTGCCATCATGCTATAATTTTTGTAAAATGAGAATGTTAAGCAAATTTTGTTGGCACAAAATGTGAACTCTTCGGAGTTATCCATGTTATAGAAATGCTTGCTTTTTCAAGGCTATATTTATTACAAGTTAATAAAGTAAGAATATCACATGGCTAGTATCTTAATGATACAACGAAAAGTATTTTCTTGTCACAAAATTGTTGTTTTTACTATTAACTCCAATTTAAGGCTAGAGCCTAAAAAATGAGACCAGAATGGAGTGCGCCTTAAAAGGGACGAGATCGATTGCAACTTTAAGCATGAAGACTTGCACGGGAATATACATTTTGCTTTGTTATACTGTTGTCCAAAGAAGTCCAAGGAAGGTGGTGTTTCTACCGTAATAAAAATATGCATGTACTTGAGAGCTAATTTTTTTATTATTCTTTACATTCTATAGTATTTGAAAAGAATTGATATACTTTTGAAGTATTTTACGCAATCAGGTTGCATTGAGATGGCTTTTACTTGAGCTAAGCAGCGATAGAGAATTAATAAGAGTAAACACAAAATTTGGTTTTCACATTCCGATATCAACTTCAGCAGACTTGAAAATTATCAATGGCTTATTGCAACAACTTTCTAGTTTTGTTTTTCTAGAAGTTCAAATACCTTCAATATGAAATAAAATTAGATATTCCAAGCAAACTTTCTCTTACTGCTTTTATCAAGATTTTGTCAGTTGCCGAGCAGCCTACGAATCGGGTTATCGCAAAGATGATGTTTACTTGCTTAGTTGCCTTAAAGTCTAGCTGCGTTAAAGAAGCAATTATTGGTTCACAGCTGTATCTTTTATGAGATTGAAACCAGCAGACTTGAATATCATCACCGGCCTGTGGTAACAAAGCCATTTTCATTCAGAAGCTCTACCCATCTAAAAACCAACCATCGATATTTTCAGGCATATGTATTCTAGAAAACAAGTACCTTTGATATGAAGCCAAATAGGATGTCTTAAGCAAGTTTCCTCTTTCTGCATTTTCAAGGTTTTGCCAGTTGCCAAGCAGCCTACGAAGCGGGTTATCGCAAGGATGGTGTTTACTTGCTTTCAAACATTGGACACCATTATTGTGTTCTGAATGGGACAACGACTTGTAGCGGCGTTGGAGGTTGGACACTAGTGTTAAAGACGGATGGAAGACTGGTAAGAACAACTTTTCTACAAAAATCGCTTATTATCAGATCAAGAACCAAACAGAAAATTAAGCTTAATGCATAAATTAATAACATTTTTTGGACAATTATGTGGGTAAATATTTTCGAAATGCTTCTATGGACACATTCATTGAAAAAGGTAACAACAATTTTGTATCAGGTCGAGGAGTTGAGAGAGAGCGTAAGAAATCTATATCTTATGAGATTGTTCTAGTGATTTCTATGCCAGTGAAAATTAAATTGAGTACAGCAGATGACAGGCTGCCTTTAAAAATGAAGCAAAACATGACAATCTTTATCATCTCTAGGATATTTTTTAATGCTCTTGTAAATATGATTTCTCTATACTCCCATGGTAGAACACATTTCGATACGAGTCAAGTCACTGGACATCAAGCAGTGTCTACAACCACGTTTATGCTTTGACAGAGGGTTTTCTTGGCGACCAGGAAGCGAAGTTTCCAGCATTCAATGCATTGCCATTTACTCGAGTTTGTGTTGGGATGAGATCGGGAAGTGAGAAAAGCTATATTACTCTAGGTCATAGATCAGCATCACTTTTGACACACTTTAAAGGCTCATTTTATGGTAAGTTTCTACACACAACGTACGTAACTAAATCTTATTATGGCTTCCATTTTGCTAAGCCTCTGCACTAGCCAATCACAGTTTAAAGATCTTTTGTTTGTTGATGGCGAACTTTGGTTCCTTTTTGCGCAAGTATGACATTGCCTTACAACTGAAACATATGATTTGCTTGTTGCTTCTAGCCAGAACACCCTAAAAAGAATTAGAAAAAATGACAAAAGGTATGAATTCTTCACATTGTCAAGAAGTTTATCACATCAAAAAAGACAAAGTTACCGTTAGAAAATTGCGTTAGAAAATGGTGCAACTGAACTTTTTTGCTTGTATGCATATTGTTGTTTGAAAATGTTTTTGTAAACTGAATTTCCATCTAAGATACTTAATAGAAGATCTGTTTCCAAGTTCATACTTTACGCCCATTCTTTAAAAATTCAGCCACTACAGAAATGTTAAGTCCGTACAATTTTCCTAAAAAGGTTCCAGGGTGAGTACAAAAATAGCTTCTTTTGACCAGCGAAAAACCTTAAATGTGTTGACAGACAAATTGTCGAGGGGAGGGGGGGTACTGCATCCCCCCTGAACCGCCTGCACCCCCATTTACACCTTATTGGGATGAGCGTTTGCATTTTTTTGGGAAGCTTTTATTTAATTGGGGATTGTGGTCAAAATTAATGGTAAACAAAGTGTGATCTCCAACTTAAATAAAATTATTTTCTTTAAAAGGAACTTATCAGCTAAATAATTGGCGCAATTTGTTGAAAGGAAGCCAGCTCCAGCCCTATTGTAATAGACAAGGGTTCAATATCATCATTACCGGTAGTGTAAACGTTGGAGTGAGGATTGGAATCATTGGCAACGACGCTAACGACTGCATCACCCCTGATTCAGCCATTGGCATAGGTATTGGCGGTTCTCATTTACAACCCACTGGCGTTTATACTGGAGCGACAATGAGTGCACAGAAGGTTTTCGGATATATACTCATAAAATAAGTAGATCCCGAACGAAGCAGCAAAGGTAACAGTGGCGTAGCGTCTATGTATGCTACGCTTGCGGCGCAAGCGTAAAAATTTATAGATAAATTCTAAAATTCTTGCAACACTTTCAATGCATAACAATTTCCGCAATAAACGGCTTCTCTTTCTTGTCATGAGCAGCATGCAGTGAACTCTAGCGCCAACAGGCCAATTGGCCCCAATTGGCTATTTTTCCAAGTAAACAGATCGCTAAAAATTATGAAATTCGAAAAATCTGAAAAACTGAAGCCCCTCCACATCACTCTTTTTGCCTGTCCAAAATAAGAGAAACATGTGATGCTCCAGTACAGCTTCAGTGCAACTCGAGAGAAGCTTCTGAGAGAAGTGAGAATTTTCCGGACTGGAGCTTGCGGTCGGCCTGAGCGCAAGCCTTCCCAAATATTTGATAATCCACAACATTTTTCTACCTATAAGCTGCTTTTTGCGAATACTCTTTGCGTGATACATCATTTCAAATCCAATTATTTTCCTTTCTTTACTTTGTGACTGTTGAAAAGAGAAAAAGTTTCGTCAAAGTGGGTTCAGAGTCTATTTGTCATGATCCGCATTCCGTAATTCAAGTCAAAAGGCTTGCCAGTATAGTCAGAATTTACGGACCAGGGCATGCGGTAGACCTGAGCGCAAGCCTTGCCAAATACATGATGATTTGCCGGGACTAACTTTCTGAAACTTTACACATGGAAGCATCTTCAATTCTAACAACTCTCACAGCTCACTATTTTCATCTTAGTTAACTATGAGAGTAAAAAATGAGCAGAAACTGTTGCTCCTGTTCGCTTAGGCTCTGCAGTGTGTTAACAATTTCGCAATGTGGAGAGCTCCTTCTTGCGGGAATCCCCAGCTTCATTATAGCATAAAAAATTCTTACATTAGGTGGGCATTAGGTGATGCCTTTTCTTGAGGAATATGAATAAGAATAAAATCTTTTGCAAAGCAGTTTTAGCACTAGGAGTTATTCTGAAAAGTCTTGCTAAACAATTGAGCTTTTTTCAAAAACTTTCGCATGGATGATAATTTTTCCCTTGGCCCCTCTTCACTTTCCAACCTCTGTCGGAGCCTCTGATGCTAAGAATAGACACCTTGATTGATTAGAATTAGAGTACAAATAATTTGTTACTTTGAAAATCAAAATTTGCTATCACGATTATCATTAATTACCGCTTGTATTTTTTAGAAACTGAAATTACCATTACATTTATTCAACATAGCCGTATATTTTATGTTACCGCATGCCTAAGTTCTGCGCTCACGCTACGCCACTGAAAGGTAACGAAGTGATGTCATCATGCTTCGACTGATATCTAGCACATTCAGAGCACAGTACAAGTGACTTCTCGCAAGGCAACAAGAATGTTCTTTAGAGGCAAACCATGACTTAAAATGGCACAGTTTATAGCCCAGTGCAGTCAATTTTTTTGCCTTGTTTCTGGTACACAGTTGTTGTTTGATTAAAAAATTCTGTAAGCCCGTCCATTGTATAAAGGAAAAAAAGGAGAAATTAAAGGAAAAAGCTGAGAAACTTTAAATTGCATTGAAATGGAGCATTGGGCCTGGTTTTTTAAATATTATTTTTATTGGACATGTAAATCTGGTTTACTTCAAAAGCACGTTGTTTTTATCCTAAAAATGAACGAGGACACTGTTTCCGAGCGATTGCCAAGCAGAAATTCAGATAAATGCAACAGAAATCATTTTGCCTATTGCAAAGTATTTAAAAGAAGCATTAAAAAGCAGATTAGATTTAAGCTAGCCTTATTTTTTGAGGCTTGAGGTTTGAGCTAGCCTTACTTTTAATTTTTTTCTGTTGTAGTTCGACCACAACTTCACTGTTCATCTTTTAATGTTTCTTTTATTCTTAAAAAATTGTTTTAGTCATGCTTGTAGATTTAACGGCATTTTTATTGATATTTAGATTGTAAAACCTTTTACCTATGTAAAAGTATCGTTAAATTTGAAAAATATCGGACATGAAGTCAAATCACTGCAATAACATGACATTGGAGAACAATTAAAACCGAAGAGATCAGTGGCGGTTTTAAGGGGGGTTCAGGGGGGCATGGCCCCAGGCCCCGCGTTTATGATAGCCAAAAGGGGCCCATACCTAAGAAAAAAATGGAAATTGCAAATAAAGAACAAGAGCTCCGCAGATGTTTTGGGCCCCAGGCCCCGCAGTTTCTAAAACCGCCACTGGTAGAGTTGGTTTGGAGGAGGAAGGGGGAGTGGAGGGGCTTATTTCAGTAGTCAGGTGCAAACGTTAGCATTCGTAAAGATTTTAAGTTTTATGAATACAATTGTAGAGTTTTCGTGGAAACTGTAATCAGGATGAGATCCAGAAATTATCTCCCTCTGAATGAAAGCAGACAATTTTTGATGAGTGGCGGAAAAGCTTCCAACTTACATAAGACTAGCAAGCAAAGAAATAACAACATGCTGCTAAAAGGAAAGTATAAGAAATAAACAAAGCAAACAGGTGAATGCTTAGGGTAGTTCAGGGTAGTTCAGCTCCTAAATAATATTCCAAAGTCTCCTTACAATTAAAGAAGCTGAAAGCCTTAACAGCAACACGAGATGTCATATGTTTTTGCCTTGATTGATTTCAAATACTTTAAAAGTAATTTTCTTTTACATTTAGCAATTATTATTCTTTCTTTGTGAGCTGTGACGTAATTTCTTCGTCATCCGAAATTAATTCTCAAAATATTACTATTTATAACGTACTATTAAACCGTGTTTTAATAAGTTATAAAAACCATTCACTTATTATCGTCATGGAATGTAAATTATGTGGCATTGATAGCAGTAATAAAAAAAGTTGCAATAGATGGAAAATATCAAATATAGCTGAAATTACTTGAATTTTTAAACTCCTGCTATTACGCTGGCAACCGGGAGGTTCCGGAACCTTAGGGCAAAACCGATAGACTAGCCTGTAATTGGTCTAAAAGGCATTTGATAAGTTTTCTTGCAGACATTTCTTGCAATCATTTAAAACTTTCTACAATATCCAGAAAAACGATTCCTCGTTAACATTTTTATCAAAATAGTTAAACAAAAACCTTGGTTTTAACTTTTCCTCAAGAAGACAAGAGGCTTCTTAATTAGAAAGGTCTAAAAATTGTTTCGAAATCTAAAATACTAGCTTTTTCAGTCAGTCTACACAATCACATTTTCCTTCAACTAATGAAAACGTAAAATTTTTACCAAAAACAAACTGACACAAATATCCTTAATTTTGTTTCAATTTCAGTTAAACTTCAGCAAATGTGATATTCGTACAGTCCGCCAATTTTCCTCTTTTTCTTAACAAAATAAAAAGTTTAAAGAAATTGCCACATTGATTGATATGGTGCTGGTATCTGATTAAAAGTATAAAAGTAATTGGTCTGTTATACATGGTCTAAAACAGATTCGAGACATGAATTAAACATGACCCCGAAACATAATAGCAGAAAGAAAGAACGGGAGACATAGAAGTAATTTATCGTCTGTTGTCCCAGAAGGAGGGAACCTGATCTCGTGAGTATTAGGTTTGCAAAAGCTGAAATCGATTTCTAAGAAAAGCTGTTAAAGAATCCCACTGGGCCAAAGAACTGGTAAGGTTGCTTGCTCCCAAAAGATTCGTTGTTCCCAAAGGATGCATCGCACTCGGTCGATTTACAGATAATCACAAACTCAGTTCATTTGTAAATGATGAGAATTTGCAAAAATAAACACAAAGTGATTTAATGCCTGAATCTCAATCTATTTGACTCAACGTTTAAGAGTAAAAATAGGAAACTAGTAAGACAGATTTCTGTTCTTCGATGATCAAACTTTTCTGGTCAGCACAGGTTGGCCTACCACCTATTGAAGAGAAACATCATCAAATTAGAAGATAGAAACGATTTCCAAATATATTCAGTGACATACTTTTCAGTGAAATACTTTAGAATTTGTTTTACTTGTCAATAATAATCGAGTAAGACTTCTAGCGAGGGTGAAAATAGCATTTTCTCAAAATTTTTGAGTTGATATTCAGCCAGAGTAATTGCAACAAATGGAGAAATTCGTAAAGATCCTGGTTAACCGGTCTTAACATAAATAATACTTGATTAAAATATGCTTGATTACCAAAGATTCGAGATGAAATGTAACGCAACACAAGAGGCGAAAGAGCAGACCTTTGCGGGAATCCTACACTCTTACACACATTATAAATTAACAAATTGCAGTATCAAATCTAACTCGCCTGTATCATATACATTGATGCGTTATATCTAAGTACTTGTATGTTCCAAAACATGGGTCGCCAAACACTCCATTGGTTGCAGGTAGCCGACAAAATCTTCTTGCATTGCATCTGCTTTGGGCGATTTGTAGAGACCTAGAAATCATTGAAATATGTAATAAGAGGTCTTTTTAAGATGGGCAGGAGACAATTGTTTACTAAAACCAATTCATCTATAATTTGTAAAAAGCGAAACCGTGCATCATTGGAAATGGAAAAGATTAAGTGTCTTTCGTATATCTAAACTTGAAAAGAAAAAGCGTATGCTGGTTTTCCTGGAAAAGTAAATTTATCATACTTTTTCTCAATATTTTTTAAAAATTTTCAAGAAGGGCAGAGCAAGGCGTCAAGAACCTTCATATAGACCACACTACCCCCATCTGCAAGATCCTGCCTTTGGCTATAAATAAACTAATAAGCAAAACATGGGATAGTGGCAAGTGATCCCCAATTAACTCGTCGTGATTTGACTCGGGAAAACTGACTAATATTCAGAAGAGAAAATGCCACTGAAACAAGTGTTTCAAAGAGTACAACAAGGAAAAGACTCAATAACTGCCATTGTTCTCTGTACCGTTTTAGCTGAAGAAACACATAATAAAAGCCTTCAGTTGTATAATCCCCCGTCGATGCAACTAACGAGCATGAGCAAGATTACTTATCGGTGGCAATCGCAATTGAGGACGGGTGCTGGGTCTATCTGATGCAATGAGTACATTATTGAATTTGTGTCAGTTCTGCTTCTGCTGGTAAACAATACTGTGACGAACCTTCGAGCAACGCAGTGGATGTTTCTCATAGCAGAGTTACGGCAAGAACTTCTGTTAGTCCGTCCATAACGGGCGCTTCGTATCTTTAATTTGTATCCAATAGGACAATTCAGACTGGCTGTCTGGCCCTCACACACAATCGACCGTTTTGCTGAAATTTAATGAGAATGAAATAATGCCTGAGATCAAAGACAATTTTATGATACAATAAAGGTGAGTGAGCAAGGGATAGGGGGAGGGGGGCTGGTAGGTCTGTTTAATCGAGCTAGGAAGCTTAGGACAAAAAGAAAGCCTTTGTAAATAATATAGCTTGAAAAATTATAAGGGGAAAGGATGTGTTTGGCTTTAAAAATTTGAAATAGTAGAAGCACTTCGTCATCATTCTTGCTGCTAAGGCTGTTGAACTGAGAACAACTTTCCCGATCGCCAATACTGTTCCGATAATATGGAAACACATATTGCGACGATCGGCAATTACGAAGAAACTATTTAATTTTGTTATAATCACGTGGGCTCGATCAACCAATCAGATGATTAGTCTGCTGGAATGGTCAATACTTCAGAGCTGAAAGAGATTATAGTACTGCCAGTCGCCAAATGTCACGGTTTACATACTCATATTGAATTGGAAATCTGGAGTTTCAGACATGCGTCGGTGGCATGCTGTCCCTTATTCCTTACCATCGTTATATGATTTAGTGGAAACCAGACTTAGCAATCAGGAAGTTGCATAAAGATCGAAATAATAAGATTTTTCTTACATGCATAACGACGTCGGCATTGGTAGGTAACTTGCAAGTACTTGTATGTTCCAAAGCAGGGATCCCCAAACACGCTGTTGACCGCATGTAATCTGCATATTGGTGTTCCATCGCAACGTCGTTTGACAGCCTGTAATGTCCTACAAATTCAAAGTGTTGCCGATATAAAAATTGCAAAAGCTTGTCAGTAGATAAGACATTTGGAACTTTTTGCGTTCCTTGAGCATTTCATGTACAAATGAACTTTGGGACCTTTGGGACCTTTGAGACCTTTGGGGCCTTTGGGGCCTTTGGGACCTTTGAGACCTTTGGGACCTTTGGGATAAAAGATGCAAAAGGTTGTCAGTAGATGAGACCTTGAGAACCTTTTTGTGTTCCTGGAGCATTTCATGTACAAATGACCTTTGGGACCTTTGGGACCTTTGGGACCTTTGGGGCCTTTGGGGCCTTTGGGGCCTTTGGGGCCTTTGGGACCTTTGAGACCTTTGGGGCCTTTGGGGCCTTTGGGGCCTTTGGGACCTTTGGGACCTTTGGGACCTTTGAGACCTTTGGGGCCTTTGGGGCCTTTGGGACCTTTGAGACCTTTGGGACCTTTGGGATAAAAGATGCAAAAGGTTGTCAGTAGATGAGACCTTGAGAACCTTTTTGTGTTCCTGGAGCATTTCATGTACAAATGACCTTTGGGACCTTTGGGGCCTTTGGGGCCTTTGGGGCCTTTGGGACCTTTGGGACCTTTGGGACCTTTGAGACCTTTGGGACCTTTGGGATAAAAGATGCAAAAGGTTGTCAGTAGATGAGACCTTTGGAACTTTTTGTGTTCCTGGAGCATTTCATGTACAAGTTACCTTTGGGGCCTTTGGGACCTTTTGGACATTCAGCACCTTTTAGACCTTCAGCACTTTTGGGACCTTCGGAACCTTTTGAATCTTCTGGGGACCTTTAAAAAATTTGATGTATATTGCACTTTAAATTTTTTGGCATAGAGACTCTTCTGCAAATTTGACCATTTACACAGATTGGGCCTTGTTAGATTTTATTGAGCATATCAGAAAAAAATTGGCTTTTTAGGGATTTCGTTGTAGTGCAGAAGCACACCAAGCCTGCACCAATTGCTACGTCCATTCGATCGATGGTAAGTCATTGCTGCGCCAAATTTACACCATTGCTAGGCTAACAGGTTTGCAAATAACGTCACCAACTTTATAATTTATTCAAGTAAATATTTCACACACAAAGGCAAAAGATCACAACTAAAAGGCTTAACAGAATATATTTTTATTTTTATTTAAGATAATTCACTTATTAATACCTAATTTACTTTTTTATTTCAGTATCCCGGGAGAAGAATGAAATAAACACAACTACAAATATTTTTGTCGCTATTTGTATAACAATCGTATTGAGAATTGAACATTGATACTTAAACTTCTGTCGATCCTTCACCTGCCTGAGAATGGTACAGAGCTGCAACTACGTAAAACTCTAATTGTAAAAATGTGAGCCTACCTCCTAGAATGGCAATTGGTCGTCCTGATTGAAGGATGGGGGCACGTCTTTCTATCGGTTCGGCCATAGTTCGCCCGGGTAATGAACATAGATCGGTCCCTTGGACAAGTGATGTATTGTGACTTCCCCTCACAGACGTTTACAGTTTGAAAAGCTATAAAATTAAAAAATCTAATGTCAAATTTTGATCTTCGAACCAAGACATTGCTAAAACCCTTGACTTACGAGAAAATATATTGCAATTCTCATAATGAGGAACATGAATTGGAAAACGTAATCAAAAGTTTGATTGGTGGAAATATTTCTAGGAAATGCTTACTAACTACTCCTCAAAGTTTGTCTTTCTGAAGAATTATGTTTATTCCCTTTAATTGATTCCTGTAATTGATATTTAATTGACATATTTATTGAAAACCTTTCAATATGTTTTTTAAATTTTAAAACCTTCTGGTTTGACAGTATATTTATATACAAAAAATATTTTTTTACAAAGTTTCATTCAGTAAACAGAATTTTATATACTGTATTAATCAGTGTCGAAATTATCCAATCAATGTTTATTCAATCAACGTATGGCAAACAAAACATATCGAACTAATCTAAGGTTTAAATAGGAGTTTCTTTCTTGAATTTTGTACATACCTGAAGGGTTCTTGATGCATCGATAATTGATTCTTAGATATTTGTATGTTCCTACACAAGGGTCGCCAAAAACACCGTTACTGGCTTGAATGCGACAAACTTGCTTCCCTCCGCACATCGTGACAACCTTTTGCATTGAGCTGCAAAAATGAATTTTGGCAAAATTTCAAGACAGGATTATACAGAGCATAGAAAAAGATCTAAACATAGCTGAAAGGAGAACTAAATAGAAAGACTCTCAATCTTTTGGTGTCAATGGATAAAAGAATTATTGATTGAAAACGTGGAAAAAAATTGAAACATTCTATCACGATAAAAAAGATATATTTTGCTGAAGAGACTAAACCTGTGGAGGAGCCTATCCGATTTTTTGTCACATAACGGAGAAATCAATTGTTTCAGTCGGAGGCATTTCAGTCGTTTTTAGAGATCTTAAAAATTATTATAAAGATCTTAAATAATTTTTCCAATAAGTTATCAATTTTTTTTATTTAAGATTGTAGCCTAAAGGTCTAATACGAGAAAGATGTCGATATTGGCTTTAGGTGAGTATGTGTTAGAAGGGGTACAGAGCAAATGACACCCACTGGACTTTGATCCGCTTTGGACGAGCTGACTACGGTCCTATCAAATTCAATCTCCGAGCAAGAATGGGAATGTCTTGTAAAACGTACCTGGCAGCTCCACAGTTGGTTGTTCTAATGGCTGGGTTTCGACAAGTTGTCCTGTCTGTTCTGCCGTATTTCGCCCCCAAGATTTCTAAAACTTGACCATTACTACATCGGAGAGTTGCATGTCTGTGTTCGCAGACGTTGATTATGGAGCCTGGAGGAAGGTTGGAAAATTGAAAATGTAATTTGTGAGCTTGAACTAATTCTATCACTTACAGAAATACTTTGCCTATGTAAACTTACTTAAGTTTTCTGCTTTGGGGTTTTTTCTAAATAAACTAGGATAAGTATTTTCAGTAAAGATGTTTTCATCATAATTTTCTGTTCGTCTGAATCTATCTTTGCTGTAATTATTAGTCTAGACTTTAAGATCTAGACAATGAAAGATGGCACACGAACGCTGCCCATTTCACTAGTTTGCGCTTTTGAAATGAAGAAGTTTTAAACTTTTCATAAATTATCTTTTAACATACTTGTTGGTTTCTTGATGCATCGATAATTGATTCTTAGGTATTTGTATGTTCCTACACAAGGGTCGCCAAAAACACCGTTACTGGCTTGAACGCGACAAAATTGCTTCCCTCCGCACATCGTGACAACCTTTTGCATTGAGCTGCAAAAATGAATTTTGGCAAAATTTCAAGACAGGATTATTCATGCTTTATACAGAGCATAGAAATAGATCTAAAAATAGTTGAAAGGAGAAGTAAATAGAAAAAATTCTCACTCTTTTGGTGTCAATGGATAAAAAAATTATTGATTGAAAACGTGGAAAAAATTGAAACATTCTATCACGATAAACAAGCTATATTTTGCTGAAGAGACTAAACCCGTGGAGGAGCCTATCCGATTTTTGTCATATAACGGATAAATCAATTGTTTCAGTCGGAGGCATTTCAGTCGTTTTTCGAGATCTTAAAAATTATTATAAAGATCTTAAATAATTTTTCCAATAAGTTATCAATTTTTCTATTTAAGATTGTAGCCTAAAGGTCTAATACGAGAAAGATGTCGATATTGGCTTTATGTGAGTATGTGTTAGAAGGGGTACAGAGCAAATGACACCCACTGGACTTTGATCCGCTTTGGACGTGCTGTCTACGGGCCTATCAAATTCAATCTCCGAGCAAGAATGGGAATGTCTTGTAGAACGTACCTGGCAGCTCCACAATTGGTTGTTCTAATGGCTGGGTTTCGACAAGTTGTCCTGTCTGTTCTGCCGTATTTCGCCCCCAAGATTTCTAAAACTTGACCATTACCACATCGGAGAGTTGCATGTCTGTGTTCACAGACGTTGATGATGGAACCTGGCGGAAGGTTGGAAAATTGAAAATGTAATTTGTGAGCTTGAACTAATTCTATCACTTACAGAAATACTTTGCCTATGTAAACTTACTTAAGTTTTCTGCTTTGGGGTTTTTTCTAAATAAACTAGGATAAGTATTTTCAGTAAAGATGTTTTCATCATAATTTTCTGTTCGTCTGAATCTATCTTTGCTGTAATTATTAGTCTAGACTTTAAGATCTAGACAATGAAAGATGGCACACGAACGCTGCCCATTCCACTAGCTTGCGCTTTTGAAATGAAGAAGTTTTAAACTTTTCATAAATTCTCTTTGAACATACTTGTTGGTTTCTTGATGCATCGATAATTGATTCTTAGGTATTTGTATGTTCCTACACAAGGGTCGCCAAAAACACCGTTACTGGCTTGAACGCGACAAAATTGCTTCCCTCCGCACATCGTGACAACCTTTTGCATTGAGCTGCAAAAATGAATTTTGGCAAAATTTCAAGACAGGATTATACATGCTTTATATAGAGCATAGAAATAGATCTAGAGATAGCTGAAAGGAGAAATAAATAAAAAAATTCTCACTCTTTTTTGTAAATGGATAAAAAAATTATGGATTGAAAACTTTGAAAAAAATTGAAACATTCTATCACGATAAACAAGCTATATTTTGCTGAAGAGACAGAGCCTGTGGAGGAGCCTATCCGATTTTTGTCATACAACGGATAAATCAATTGTTTCAGTCGAAGGCCATTCAGTCGTTTTTCGAGATCTTAAAAATTATTATAAAGATCTTAAATAATTTTTCCAATAAGTTATCAATTTTTTTATTTAAGATTGTAGCCTAAAGGTCTAATACGAGAAAGATGTCGATATTGGCTTTAGGTGAGTATGTGTTAGAAGGGATACAGGACAAATGACACCAACTGGACTTTGATTAGCTTTGGGTGTGCTGACTACGGGCCTATCAAATTCAATCTCCGAGCAGAAATGGGAATGTCTTGTAAAACGTACCTGGCAGCTCCACAGTTGGTTGTTCTAATGGCTGGGTTTCGACAAGTTGTCCTGTCTGTTCTGCCGTATTTCGCCCCCAAGATTTCTAAAACTTGACCATTACCACATCGGAGAGTTGCATGTCTGTGTTCACAGACGTTGATGATGGAGCCTGGCGGAAGGTTGGAAAATTGAAAATGTAATTTGTGAGCTTGAACTAATTCTATCACTTACAGAAATGGTTTACCCATGTAATGCTATTTAAGTTATCTGCGTTGGGGATTTTTCTAAATGAACTAGGATAAGTATGGTATTTTTGGCATGGATTCAAAACGTGCGGTTTAACAATTTCTACCCCGTCCATCAGATAGGAAGCTTATTCCTAGAAAATGATACGGTATAATTGACAACACATGCACTTTTACAAATTAAGGTATTTGGTGACCTTGATTTAAAAGTAAAAACATCCTCGCTATGGGTGGAAAGGAATCACTCATCAAATTTAGAGGTATTTTTTGTCAATCTGACACAGAATTTTTAAATGTGTAATTGTTTACTCATTTCTAGTGTTGTTGTAATTTTATATTTAATTCATTTTCAGTAAAAAAGTTTTCAATTACATTTCTGTTCGTCTGAATCTATCTTTGCTGTAATTATTAGTCTAGACTTTAAGATATGGACAATGAAAGATGGCACACGAACGCTGCCCATTCCACTAGCTTGCGCTTTTGAAATGAAGAAGTTTTAAACTTTTCATAAATTCTCTTTGAACATACTTGTTGGTTTCTTGATGCATCGATAATTGATTCTTAGATATTTGTATGTTCCTACACAAGGGTCGCCAAAAACACCGTTACTGGCTTGAACGCGACAAAATTGCTTCCCTCCGCACATCGTGACAACCTTTTGCATTGAGCTGCAAAAATGAATTTTGGCAAAATTTCAAGACAGGATTATACATGCTTTATATAGAGCATAGAAATAGATCTAGAGATAGCTGAAAGGAGAAATAAATAGAAAAATTCTCACTCTTTTTTGTAAATGGATAAAAAAATTATGGATTGAAAACTTTGAAAAAATTGAAACATTCTATCACGATAAACAAGCTATATTTTGCTGAAGAGACAGAACCTGTGGAGGAGCCTATCCGATTTTTGTCATATAACGGATAAATCAATTGTTTCAGTCGGAGGCCATTCAGTCGTTTTTAGAGATCTTAAAAATTATTATAAAGATCTTAAATAATTTTTCCAATAAGTTATCAATTTTTTTTATTTAAGATTGTAGCCTAAAGGTCTAATACGAGAAAGATGTCGATATTGGCTTTAGGTGAGTATGTGTTAGAAGGGGTACAGAGCAAATGACACCCACTGGACTTTGATCCGCTTTGGACGTGCTGACTACGGGCCTATCAAATTCAATCTCCGAGCAAGAATGGGAAAGTCTTGTAGAACGTACCTGGCAGCTCCACAATTGGTTGTTCTAATGGCTGGGTTTCGACAAGTTGTCCTGTCTGTTCTGCCGTATTTCGCCCCCAAGATTTCTAAAACTTGACCATTACCACATCGGAGAGTTGCATGTCTGTGTTCACAGACGTTGATGATGGAGCCTGGCGGAAGGTTGGAAAATTGAAAATGTCATTTGTGAGCTTGAACTATCACTTTTGTGAGCTATCACTTACAGAAATACTTTGCCTATGTACTCCTAAGTGAATAATCTCTAATAAAGTTTATAACGCTATAAAAACAACCAATTTATGGTATTTTTAGCATTTATTTTGGAGAATCCATGTGGAAATGGCTTTTGTTTATATTTGATATTTAGAACACAGTTGTGTTTCGACTAGGCATACTTTTGTTGAGGACATTTTTCTCACACAATAACTTTGTAGGCAAATATTAACCATTCATAAACATCAAGATAATATTTATTGCATTTAAAGAAATCTCTAGCTGAAAATCCATTGAATCTTGGACCAACATCGCAAGCTGTCTCTGCCTATTTAACAGCTCTAGATATTTTTAGAAGAAAAAATAAAATTTGGAAATATAAAAACAAATCAAGAATTTTTTTGGCGCTATTTTTTTTCAGTCAATGCCCCTCTACTCATATTTCTTCCCTTAGCAGCATTCATCCCTGATCATTTGAATTTTGTCAGTGGAGCTGCGAATCGCTCGGCTAATTACGGAGGCGAGCAATTGTTTCCAATGATAATATATAATATACGAATCAACGCTCTATATACAAATCATATACAAATGATCTGCAAAAGTTGTTTCCGGTTGATGTTTTTGTTGATTTAGCTATAATCGTTATTAGGTTAAAAACAAAGCTTAAACAAAAAGAAAAAGTGACTTAAATGCAATTAAGAATAACAAGAATATATCTAAACCTCAAGTTATCTGATATTTCAAACCATTTAATATCCAGCCCCATCCAAAGCACATTTCGCAGGCTCTGCAACGAGGCACTCTAACATTACATTTATTTTTTGCAAGAAACAAATTTCGTCGCTGAGTACTCCAGTTTCTAAGGTTTTTTGAAATTTCGTTACTCGTTACTTATCAAGCGTGTCTTGATTGTGATGTTATCAAATTTAAACTTTGGCTACTGCGGTTCGCACAAATTTAATTTAAATGATCTAAATACTAATTATTTGATTGAAAAAATTATTGAAGAAATGCTTTTCCTGACATCCAGCCTCATATTAATACAAAGTTATGCCAACTTATCATTTCATGACAATAAGATCTTTGATGACGTCATGCAAACTTTTTGATGACGTCATAATGAAAATACTGATGTCGGCGAGTCATGCTTAAATATACATCAATTGAAAGCTTGGGACGAGACGAGTCAAAATATGCCATTTGCGTCAAAAAATAACACTCCAGTAAAGAGCTAGCGATGATTATCTGATTTTTACCCTTAAATGACGTCACCAGTCTCGTGACATCCAGGCATTTTCAAAAAAGTCACCTGGCAGATTATGAAAGCCTGAACTCCCTACTACCAGAATCCGTTGAGAAAGTAAACATTAGCTTGAATGTCAGATTGTCAGGCTATGTGTCCTGTCTAGCGAGATTCATTAGTTTTATATTTTTTTTTAAATGCTCGTGAGAATGCTTTAAATATTTTCGATTCTGTCCTTTGGTGAGTGAAGTATATTTCTAATTCTCTCTATTTAATTTTTTTTGCAAAGCAGCCATTCATATCGATAGATTTTCACGAAATGCCGTAGATTTGGATAGTTCAAAATTCAATAGTTTCTAACTTTTCTCTTCGAGTACCGGAGTTTCGTAACTTCTTTTGGATTGTGCATCAATCGTTTCTATTAACAACTCTCTTATAAGAATTTTTAAAATTTTGATAAAGAACGCAAAAACCTTACCTTGAGTTGATGCAAAAAAGCCAACGCAAAATAGTATTGCAATGGAAAGCATATTGATTCTTCAATCTAATGTAAAATCTAAAAAAACAAAAATTTGACTTGAAAGCAAACAACTTCAAAATTTGTTATAGCTTAAACTAGTATACTAACGGTAATTAACTTAGATTTTTCGAATTTCAAAAGACGATTCAAGTTCAGGAAATTTAAATAAGAATTCATAAAAAGTTGCAATGAAAATAAGTAGAATGCATCAAAGAAACTTGCTGAAAACAGTCAAATAGAATATAATTTTTATCATAAATTTGTGAAGTGATGTTGACGTATCGTAATTCCAATCGAAATTGTACGAATAAGCTGCAGTATTAAGTATTTTACCAAATTCTGTCGTACTTTTTTGTAGCTTTTTTGTTTTAGAGAATTAAGATAGTTGAGTTACTCAAATCATTGGATTCAACCAAGGTCTCATGTTGCATTAATTGTACAACTCGGAGTTGCATCTGAAAAACGTCCTGTCGGCTGTGAAGTTGTTACATAAATATAATTGGGAAAATTACTTAGATCAATTAAGCTTTGTTTTCCTAACGTTATTATCTGAAATAAACTTTGAAATGGAATGCGCTGTCGTCCTTATTCATACTGCAGCCTTTCTTTCCTAGCAATGTTTTCCTACAGTAAATTGCAGCAAATAACCTCAATGTCTAAACGACGAGAAAGGAGCTGAAATTAGTATCTTGTGACAAAATTGACAACATATAAAACATTGGAGAATGAAAGAGCATAAACTTACAAGCTTTTTTCCAGACCAATCTGTCTTTCCAAGTAAGTGCACTGAAAAGTATTCTGTATTTGCTTCAACTGAGAGAGATCTCCCTGTTTTATTCTAGTGGTGTTTACTCCTGTCAACGCAGGGATTACTGCTTGATATCTCAATTTTCCGCCTTGCTGTCGTAAGTTTGATGCGTCACCAACACCCAAAAGGCTTATTTTTGGCCCTTCGGATACGGATTCACTGTGTGAATTAGAATTGTTTCTGAAGACGTCATAAAATGAAATTTAGAGTGAGATATGACCTCATAATCTGAGAACACGATAAAGCAGTGCATGTTGTTTGTTTACCGACATGCATCTAATTAAGCTTAACACTACTTAATTATTTGTCTGACTTTTACTCTGGGTGCCAGAGCCACAAAGTATCGAATACGGAAATGGAGATCGAGGCGGAAAAGCGGAGGAGCTCAATTCAATTCAATTCATGTTTTTTACAACAATAATTAACTAAATACAGTATCAAAATAAAATTTTGATGTTTCAAAGCTACATTAGACAATTATACAAACGAGATAAATAACAATACATCAATTTACCAGAATATTGCTGAAGGACATATGGAAAGAGCTCTGAAAGAGCTTTCGGGCCATATACCCCCAGTGATGTGTAAAAGATCAGGAACAGTTAATATACCTGCATTCAATACTAACAATTTAAGAAAAGGTTTTATGATAAGGATAAAAATAAAGATGAACATTAAGAAGATAAGAACAAACTAAATCGATTGTAAACAAATGAAAAGGGAAAAGGGTTAAGGATCATCTTGTATTTTTAGGTGTATTCTTAAAGTAACAATTGTTTAAAGAGACATGAAAAGGTTTTTATGGAAGCAACACTTTTTATGTTACTTGGTATGTTATTTCAAATTTTTATACCAGCATTTGTTATGAATAAAGATATGTAGTTTGTTCTAATTTGAGGCTGGAAAAAGTTACCGCTAGTAGCCTGTCGGGTTCTAATGTTATGACACTATGTAGTAAGATGAAAGAAGTCACAAATGTAGCTATCAACTTTGCCTTTTGAAACTTCAAACATAAATTTAGCACATTCGAGTTTGTACATATCATCAAAATTTAGGAGGCCTAATGACTTGAAGAGAGGCTTACTATGACATGTACTATTTTTGAAAAGAATTAATCGCACGGCGTGTTTTAGCTTCTTCCTCAAAGGGTCCAGAGTATTCGAGTATGCTCCCCCCCCCCCAGTTTATCAGACCATAATTTATGTGTGGGGAAATAAAAGAATTATGAATACTAAGTAATATATCCTTGGGTAGAAAATGTCTTACTTTGGCTGAAAAACCAAGGCTTTTGGAAATTTTTATGTTAACATTTTGGATATGTGGTTTCCAGGTGAGATTCTCATCTATCACAACTCCGAGGTATTTAACGTAATCTGACTCTTTTAACTGTTCACCATTAATAGATATATAAATAGTTTTAGGTTCCTTCTTATGACGTGGCTTGATAATCAAGAAGTGAGATTTACTTGTGTTTAGGGTCAACATATTAGCAGCAAGCCTGAATGCATTATTGCTCCAACTTTGGATTCAAAAGAGATCGCAGCTCAGAAATCCTAAAGATCTTCAGGAACAAAGCAATACAACGACAAGAATCCAAGGCAATGAGATAGAACTTCCAAAATAAATCAAATTTATTTTGAATACCTAGCCTGTGCTTGAAATAAGGGTCTGGAGATAATAATAAATCCCCAAGTTTGAATGGTATAATAAATGAGTACTTAAAGTATGGTTCATATAAAGTTATATTCATAATGACAAAAATATTTAACATCGTTCTTAAAATAGGTGTATTCCCTGAAGCTAATGGGTGTATTCCCTGAAAGTAAAATGGGTGTATTCTCTGAAGTTTAATTGGTATAATAAAACCTATCTATAAAATAAAGGGTCAAAATCTGACACCAACAATTACAGGGGTATTACACTTGTAAGCTGCTTAGGTAAAGTTTTTACTGGTCTCCTTAATAAAAGACTTTCTTCTTACCTGGAAAAGATAAAAATTGCTAAATGAAAACCAAGCCAGGTTTCGCAATGGTTACTCCACAACTGACCATATTTTCAACTTGAATTTAATCGTGAATTATTTTCTATGTAAGGGGAAACGACTATATTATGCATTTGTTGACTATGAAAAGGCATTGGATACGGTATGGAGAAAAGTATTTGGATGAAGTTTTTAAACCACTGTATCGAAGGATACTGTTTGAATGTAATATTAAATATGTATAGCAGAATTAAGTCAACTGTCGAAAAAGATGGTATATTCAGTGACATCTTCCCTTATGATATTGGCGTAAGGCAAGGGGAAAATCTTTCCCCTCTTTTGTTTTCAATTTTCATAAATGATATGGAAGATTCATTTTCAAACTTTGGAATTGGGGGCATAAATTTAGAAGTAAATGAGCAGGTAATGGTTAAGTTACACACACTGTTGTATGCAGATGATACCGTATTATTTGCAGAATCTGCGGAAAAATTGCAAAATTCACTAGACATCTACATTTTTACAGTAGATTGTGGCGGCTCAAAGTTAACGCCAGCAAAACTAGGATCATGATATTTTCTAGCCTGCGTCACAGACCAAAAACTTCTCCGTGAACACTTCACGGAAGTTTTTGGTCTGTGACGCAGGCTAGATATTTTCAAGAAGCTGCAAAAGTAAAGTTGTGAAATTCAATTATAATGGTGAAAATATTGAAGAAGTAAACGAATTTAAGTATCTTGGTATAGTTTTAAAAAATAATGGGCGCTTTGTTGGTGCAGTGAAATTTATAAAAACTGAAGCAAATTAGGCAATGTTGTATTTGATTTCAAGGGCGAGAGCCACTAACATGCCAATAGACCTACAACTAAAAATGTTCGATTTATTAGAATTACCGATCCTAACCTATGGAGCAGAGGTATAGGGATTTGAAAAGTTAGACTTAACTGATCAATTAAAGCTACAGGTTTATAAATTAATGATGAACCTTAGGAAATCACTAAGTTATATGGTATACGTCGAACTAGGTCGTGTCCCTGTATCGATTAAAATAGAATCCAGAATGATTAATTTTTGGGGCAAGGTGTTAAATGGTTAAAAAGAAAAGCTTTCCTATACTCTTTATTCTGTCTTAATACGAGATTGGGAAAAATACCTTGGATCAAATAAATCAAGAGTTTGTTTGATAATAGCTACTGGCATGTCGATTGTATGGAACAATCATTTTGTAAATAATAGAAAGAATCAAATGGAAGTGGTAAAAACTAATTTAAAGGACCAATTCCTACAACAATGGAATAACGAAATGCAGGAGTCGAATAAAGAGAAAAATATATTGAACTTCTTCCTTCAAATTTATGACAATACCTAGTCTGGTTTAGAACAGCAAACCATAAATTGGCAGTAGAAACAGGCAGATGGGGCAAAATAAGTTATGATAAAAGAAATTGTAATATATGTTCATCCAACGAAATCAGAGACGAGTTCCACACACTCTTGAAATGCCCTACTTTTTCGCATATAAGAAATTACTACATTCCTAGCTATTTTGGTAAATACCCGTCTATACTAAAATATCAAATATTGATGACAAAACCAGACGACAATAAAGGATTCAGGGCCAATATTGCAAGACTTATAAGGGAAATTTTTAGGTACCAAAAACAAATGCAGGTCACCTCCTGTAAAGCAGACTAAGTGCTTTGTTGTAGTTGTTGCTCCTCTTTTCTTGTTTGTTTTGGCTGAATTTACATAAAATTTAATAGTTGTCGCTTAATCATGCTCGTACTGTTACTTGTTGTTGCTGTTAACTAATTAATTTTTCTTTTTTCCGTTTAAAGCTGAAATTTGTCATTTGGATGTAAAGAGCTTATTCAAGTATTTAATTGATGATGGTGACGTTGATGATGGAGAGGGGAGGCTATAGCATGAAAGGGCGGATTCAAGCTCTCTCAGTTTATGTCGTTGACAGCTGTGGAAAACCGTGACGCACATTCGGAAGTTTTTCTCGCAGTCATGCCCTAGTCTGATGCACACAGCAAATGCATGCAACGCAATAGAAAACCCATGGTGAAAGAACTGCGTCATAATTCGAAACAGTTTGTTCCTCTTCGACGGGAATTTTCTTTTCTCTAAGAACATTATTATGTCTACTTTGCTTAGCAACAACAACAACAACAGCAAACAACAAAAACAATTGTAAGTTGGAGTGAAAGTATTTGCTCTAAAATTGACCGTTTCCTAATTTCCAATAAAAAATTAATGCCAAAAAGACGTTTTGAGAGCAGCAAAAATGATCGTTTCATGTCTACTTTGTCAACAACACCAGTCTAGACTTGAATCGAGAATCCGTTTTGTTTATATGCGAATCAGTTTAATTTCAGTACGTGGCAGTTATGGTCCACTCTAGATTGCCTAGGCCCCCTGTCGGAAGGCCAAGCCACCCGTCGGAGAATTTCTAGTGCCACTGTTTCCGCGAAATGTGCGTCACTGCCATCGTGTTATGGGATGTTTCGCAGTGTTCCTTTGTTATGTAATCTAAGTAATTACATCAACGAAGCGAAGGAGTATCGTAAATCCTCGAATTGGCCCCCATAGACTTACAAGGGAAATTTTTTTAGGTACCAAAAACAAATGCAGGTCACCTCCTGTAAAGCAGACTAAGTGCTTTGTTGTAGTTGTTGCTTCTCTTTTCTTGTTTGTTTTGGCTGAATTTTCATAAAATTCAATAGTTGTCGCTTAATCATGTTCGTACTGTTACTTGTTTATGCTGTTAATTAATCAATTTGTCTGTTTTCCTTAAAATGCTCTAATTTGTCATTTAGATATAAAAAGCTTATTTAAGTATTAAATTGTACCTTAGTTAGTTTAATTGATGACGATGATGATGATGATGACCCTCCCAAAAAAGCCCTAACCCTAGAATACAAATTGTCAATAACCCTAGAATAAGCCCCCACTCCTACCGTAAATTCTCGAATTGGACCCCTCAATTTGATGATTTTTGCCATCTGAGGTTGCCTATGGCGTTTTAGTGAATT